ATGTACAAGAACCATTTCAGTCATCGGAATATCTCCCTTGTAGGCATGTTTTGTTCAAGTCTACCCAACAAGAAGCGACCTTCATTCAATCTGCCAAGCCAATATTAGAGGATTATAGTTACCGTTGAGAAGCCGCGTCGTGTGTGTGTGGGGGCGTTCAAGGAAGACGGAGGATGAGCTTAGTTCTCGTCCTAAATGAGCACCAGTCATACATGAGTGACTGTACATGCCAATTCAACCTCTTGACTAGATCCCGCATCCCGTGTCCATCGGGCCCAAGTGATTGGAAAGCCTTACATGCAGCTGTGATGACTGGGTACGCAGAGTCACAGCATATCCTCATCCTTGCAGCTCGTCGAGAATGACGCAGAGCGAGACCGGAGCTGAGCTTGTTATCGATAAGAGCAAAATATTGAATTGAGCTGCGAGAATGTGTCTCAGGACTCCTTTTAACATCGGCCCAATTCTTCTTCACCAGACCTCGCCAGTTTGCACTGTAGAGGAAGATAATTCGAAAGTGTGTTCGAGGACTCCCGGTACTTGCGAATCATGGCTCTGCGACACTCGGTTCATCGCCAATTGGCGACCGCACTCTCTAATTCCCGCGCGGTCTCGGCATCCCGACTTTCGCACAGGGTCTTTTCGTCGTCAGCTGTGCGACACAAGATTGTACGTTAAACGCACTCCTCTCCCTTCTATCTCTATCTTCAGTCTATATGACCGTAATTCGGGCAAATTTCTAACCATTTCACCCTCTAGAATGAAGCTACGTTGCCAAAGAACCCAGACCCCGCCGAAGGCTCCCCCAGCGCCGCTCTCGTTGCCGAACATGCGCCTTATATGGTGGCCACATATGCTCGCCCACCCCCCGTCTTCACCAAAGCCGAGGGATCATATATTTGGGACATCGAGGACAGGAAGTACCTTGACTTCACTGCTGGTATCGCCGTCAACGCTCTCGGCCATTGCGAGCCTGAGGTCGCTCGGATCGTAGCCGAACAGGTTCGATAACCCCCACCATCGCGATGCTCTCCCATAGCACACACATTGGACTGGACAACTAACACGAGTGACTCAACAGGCCAAGACTCTTGTCCACGCCTCCAACCTCTACTACAACCCCTGGACGGGCGCCCTGTCCAAGCTGCTCGTCGAAAAGACCGTCAAGTCTGGTGGCATGCACAATGCCTCGTCTGTCTTTGTCTGCAACTCCGGATCCGAAGCGAACGAGGCCGCCATCAAGTTCTCCCGCAAGGTTGGCAAGGCCATCGACCCCTCCGGCGCCAAGCACGAGTTCGTGTCCTTCAACGGCGCATTCCACGGCCGGACGATGGGCGCCCTGAGCGCCACGCCGAACCCCAAATATCAGGAGCCCTTCTCCCCGATGGTCCCCGGGTTCCGTGTGGGAGACTACAACGACATTGCCGCCATCCCCGAGCTGGTTACAGAGAAGACGTGCGGAGTCATTGTTGAGCCTATCCAGGGCGAGGGTGGTGTCCGGGCCGCCTCGGAGGAGTTCCTCATCGCCCTCGCGAAGCGCTGCCGCGAGGTCGGCGCAGTATTGATCTATGATGAAATCCAGTGCGGGATGGGCCGCACCGGCACTTTCTGGGCCCACGGCGTCCTCCCCAAGGAGGCGCACCCGGACATCATCACATCGGCCAAGGCCCTCGGCAACGGCTTCCCCATCGGCGCCGTCATCGTCAACCAGACCGTGAGCGACAAGATCAAGGTGGGCGACCACGGGACCACCTTCGGAGGCAACCCCCTGGCCAGCCGGGTCGCGCACTACATGGTGAGCCGGCTCTCGGACCCCCAGCTGCAGAAGGAGGTGCTCGCCAAGTCGGACGTCTTCCGGGCGCGCTTCGAGGAGCTGCGGAAGCAGTACCCGGACCTGATCACGGAGGTGCGCGGCAAGGGTCTGATCCTCGGGCTCCAGCTGTCGGAGGATCCCACGCCCATCCTGAAGGCTGCTCGCGAGAGGGGGCTCCTGATCATCACTGCCGGCACCAACACGGTCCGCTTCGTTCCCAGCCTCACCGTGACGGAGCGGGAGATCCAGTCTGGGCTGGATATCCTGGCGGAAGCCATTGCGGTAACTCGGGCATGATTGGGCTGTAATTAGATACCAGGGTTTTCAAAAAAGGGAATGAATTAGATGGAATGGTTAGCGGATAGAAATGATGATGATATATTACGGTTTCTACTCTCTTTAACCATCCTCTCATAAGAATGTCGTGATGAATCTGACTTACAACTCACCAATCTAACTTCCCATAGCATACCAGACAATCTGAACGTACCATAGCAGGTGGCCGGCTCGTCATACCACCGGCCCATGACAAAATCCGGCAGCGTCAAGCCGACGGGGCCCCAAAAGCACGAAAACGGCACGATGACCCTGGTTAGACCCGACCAAACCCACCGGGTGGAGGCGATCTCGGAGCATCGCAGGGTTTTCGCAATCGGCAGCGCTCCAACCTCCGGCTTACACCCGCGCCATGATCGCTTCCTGGTTTCCACTTGATTTCCACTTGACCAGGCCCAGCAGCCTGATATGGCCTAATGTCTTCCCCGTCTGCATGAGATAAGGCGTGTGCCTCCGATGGGCGGTCTGCAGGCGCCGGTTTCTTTGCAGTTCGCCGCGGTCTTGCAGCGAAAGACGCCGAGGGGGTAGTACTGTGACTCCCAGCTTGGCTGCAGGGGAAGAAAAACATGTTCAATTGTATCCCCTGGCCGGAATTGGATCTCGATTGTTCAATTGATCTCCAGTTTCTGTTGCTGTCTTGCCCTTCGTACAGACTCGTGCAATGAGAGTCCTTGAGAGTACCCTCTACCACATCGTCTCCTCCAAAGGCCATTGAATAATACCAACCAGGCTGTAACCCCCTTAACCCGCCGATATAACTTCCCAATGCTGCAACCGACCCCTGAGCCCAAGGCTCAGTCCCAGCCCATCACCAAAGTAGAAGAGGCGGCCAGTTCTCCGGAAGAAGACCCTCCTCTCCCACTGATCGCCCAGGACGACCGCGTAGCGAAGCTGCCAACATGGCGCCGCTGGGTCATCCTCTTCTCCGTGTGCTGGATGGCCCTCCCCATGGTCTTCCTCAGCACCTCCATCATGACCGCCATGCCGGAGATTGCCGCCAGCCTGAACATCACCACGACCAGCATCAGCACCGCCAACGCCTGCGTCGTGGCTGCGATGGCCGCGTCTGCCCTCATCTGGCTGCCCATCAGCGTCCTCATCGGGCGTCGGAGGGCGTACATCGTTGCCACTGTCATCTTGATACTCTGCGCCATGGGTTGCGCCCTGGCCAGGAACCTGGCTTCTCTGACGGCCGTGTGGGCGATTGGTGCCACGACGGGTCCCTTCTTCTTGGTTGCGGGCCAGACCATCCTCGCTGATATCTTTGAGCCCGTTTGTCCACCCTGGTCTTTTTCGATGTCTTTGTAAGGGATTATTCATGCTGATTAACCGCAGACCGTCCGCGGTATGGCCGTTGGTTTCTTCCTCGGCAGTTGCGTTAGTTCCCAGTCGATAGGTAAGCCGCTCTGTACAATAGTATTTCAAAGCGTAAGGAAAATCTAACCCTTGTGGTTTAGCCCCGTTGGTCGGCAGCGTCATCGCGACTTACACCACCTGGCGAGCCATCTTCGGGGTGCTGTCGGGCATCAGCTTCATCGGGCTGGTCCTCGCCTACTTCTTCGTCCCCAGGGCGAGCGAGCTGTCCAACCTGAGCACGCACGAGTCGGCCGGCAAGAGGCTCTCCAGGCAGGATGTCCTGCGGGCCTTCAACCCGTCTGCCGTCTTTTACCAGTGGAAGTACCCTGGTGTTATCCTTTCGGTCAGCAGAAACCCCACCCCCTTTCCTACCATGATCTTTATAGTTTTACTCACCGTCCATTAGAATCTTGCCTGTGGTTTGTTAGGACTCAACCAATATGCCATCCTCAGCTCTGTCCGGCATCTGATCAACCCGCTCTTCGGGCTCACCTCCCCGCTCCAGAGCGGTCTTTTCTACCTCGCGCCCGGCGTTGGCTTCCTGCTGGGGAGTATCGTCGGGGGCAACGTGTCCGACAGGGTGGTGAGGCGGTACATCGACAAGCGCGAGGGTGTTCGCCTGGCGGAGGACAGGCTGAACAGCACCCCAGTCTGGGTCCTGGGAGTCCTTCCCTTGGGGACGTTCCTGTACGGATGGAGCATCGACAAGTCGATTGGGGGTATAGGGCTCCCCATCAGCGCTGCCTTCATCCAGGGCTTCGGCCTGATGGCCTCCTTTAGCGGCCTCAACACTTATGCTGCAGGTGAGAAGACACGCGGCCATGCCTGGACCCGTCATTAATACAGCCGATTAACATTTGTGGTAATCCCTTAGAATCAAACCCCGAATACAAGACGGCTGTTATCAGCGGCAAGTATGTTGTCCAATACTGTTTCGGTGCAGTCGGAGTGGGGGCAACCGTCCCCCTGATTGATGCCATTGGAGCCGGGTGGACATTCTCCATCAGTAAGTCCGAAAGATAATATGGCCTTCCAGTCTTTCCACTGGCATATCTGAGTTGCGCTCACCAGAACACTTCTAGTTGCGATTGGCTCCATCATCGCAGGTATTTTGGTGGTGATCATTGCGAGGTTGTTGGTTCGGCAATCCCCAGCCAAGCCTCGACCTAGTATATTTTGATTTAGCAAGCCAGGATGTGTGATTTGCATGCCGACATGAACATACTTGCTACGAATTCACGAACGAATTATAGAGAAACATGAGTAGAATAGAAAGGGGGAATATGCATTCATCTCTTCATAGAATCAACCGGTGTATCAGAACCTACTCCAGCAAAAACCGACTCCCATAAACAGAAAACAATAGAAGCCAACCAGAAGAGATAAATGAACCTTGTCATGGAACAATGATTCAGGGAAATCTAAATCCAACCTTGTAGCCCAAGGAAAAAAAAAAATCTCTATAAAATAGGGTTAAAGAGGCCAATGGCCACTCTTAACAGATACCGTGAGTCTTTCCAGTCTTGCCTTGGATAGAATGCGTTTCATTCTGCGAGAGAAAGTGTCAATAGATGTTGGATGCTTAAAAGAAAGCAGAAGCTACGTACCTTGTAGGCTGTTGGGCTCGCGTCATTTCGGAGCTTGCCACTTGAAAGAATGTGCTTCTGGATGTAAGCGTCTTGTCTCCTCAGGACCTCCTGGTTAGTCTCTTTGAGGAGTCCGACACATAGCTTGATGTCATTGATCAACATGTTGCACTTGCTGCGGGAGAAATCCTCCCGAACAACGACACGAAGCATCTTGAGCTCCTCCGTGTGGGGAGCCATGGTGTAGGCGGGGACGACCCAACCACGGCTACGAAGAGTCCTTGCGAGGGAAAATTCGTCGAATCCGCGGTCCTCATCAGGAGCAAAGCGGAAGGCGACTAGAGGCAGTCCCTCACCAGAGGGCTTGGACATGATGATGAACCCTTGCTGTACTAGGGAGCGAGTGAGGTAGTCGGCTGTGCGTGTAAGGTTGCTCATGATGGAGCGGTATCCGTGCTTACCCAGGCGGATGAGTTGGTAGTACTGTCCCACCACCTGTGAAGCTCCCTTGGAGAAGTTAAGGGTGAACGAAGCCTGGTCGGCACCCAAGTAGTTGATGTTGAAGACGAGTTCCTTGGGAAGGTATTCGGGAGCTCGCCAGAGGACCCAGCCCACACCAGGGTAGACAAGACCGTACTGGATGATATCAGCCATGCAACTCACGACATGTCTCGGGTTTCTCGGGACTTACCTTGTGACCAGAGACGTTGATGGACACCACCTTTTCACAGCGGAAATCCCATTCTAGGTCAGGGACGGTGAATGGCGCGACGAAGCCACCGCTGGCAGCATCGACGTGGATGGGAACATCGATGTTCCTCTCAACCAAGAGGTCGTTGACAGTCTTGACGTCTTCGTACTCACCGGTGTACGTCGTGCCCAAGATGACACAGATACCAATGGTATTCTCGTCGCACAGAGCGACTGTCTCTTCAGGGTCGATGACATACCTCTCGGGTGTGCAGTACACAAGCCTCTCGTCGACTTCGAAGTACCTGGCGGCCTTTTCCCAGCACACCTGGACGGCGGAGGACATGACCAGGTTAGGTTGGTCGGTTGGCTTGCCCTCGGCCTGGCGACGCTGCTTCCAGCGCTTCTTCATGGCGAGCACGGCGAGCATGATGGCCTCGGAGGAGCCGACCGACGAGGTGCCCACAGCGGTACCAGCGGGTGCGTGGAAGAGATCGCCAATCATGTTGACACAGCGATTTTGGATCTCAGCACATTGAGGGTACTCCTCGTAGTCAATAAAGTTCTTGGGGAAAGCATCGGCCATGAGCTTTTCAGCTTCCTCTTCCTATAATATGGGTGAGAAAAAATCCTTGCGGTCAGGTCATTCAGGTTCCATTGCGGTTCTGAGACCAACAACAAGGGGGTGTGCCCACCATGTAAGTGGTGACGAAAGAAGCAAGACTGTGCGACGAGCAACGTTAGCAAAATGTTCCTGTTTGTCGAAAATGCCATATTGAAGAGAAAAAAATTGACAGGGGATGAGAAACTCAAAGAGGGCGCTTACTTTAGCTTGGGGTTGTTGTCGAGACTGAGATCGTCCTTGATCATACGATAGGCGATGTCGCGGGGCATCTCGCATTCGGGCATCTTAGTGCGGGGAAGGTCCTCGCCAGCAAATCTCGAACCGTAGACACTGGTGGTGAACTGATCAGGGAAGTTGATGAGCTGGAGCTGGGGAGTTCTCCTGCCATCAGGCTGAGGAGTTAATCTGCCAGCACTCAGACCATCTGCGTTGAGATTCTTATCCGGGATTCCCGACAGATGGACCATGGTGGGCGAGCTGTGAGGTGGAACAGAGAGTAGATGGAGTGGAATCAATTGAATTAAGCTCGGAGCAGATAAAGTATGTGCCTATCTAAGCTGGGGAGCCAGATGGGAAAGAGATGTTGAAGCGGTGGGAGGATGGGAAACGGGAACGACGCTGCGAAGGGTTTGGGCCTCAGATGGGGAGGGAGAGGGCAGCCTTTTGTAGGAAACGGGAGGCAGCAGAGCAGAGGGGGAAAGCAGAGGGACTGAGCGGGTGGGCGGGCAGGAGGGACGGATCGCAGGTGCTAATCAGACTCAGCATTGCCTCACACATCGAGCTGCGAGTTGCTGCGTGCCCAAGGAGCATACCTCGAAAGGTGGTAAGGCAATAGGGCCATGTGAAGGTACCATGCCAGCCAGACACAGGTAGCTACCTCGCCGATACCCAGATGGCTACCTGACGTACTACCTGGCTAGCTCGACGAGCCCGGGAAAGTAAATTAATAAGTACGGGCATAGGTCATAATTAGAACACGGTCAAGCCAGCAGAGGTTGGAGGGTCTGTGGAGGCGACTTGGTCTGCTTAGTGGTTACTGTGTAATTGCTGCGTATTCGATATGTCGTGTCTGGCCCCAAAACCACACCACACACGCCTCACCATGCACACACCACCGGCAGCCCCTGCGAGCTCACCACGGCCCAAACCAGCCAAGGGACCATTCATCGTATCAATGCCACACACGCCAGCCCGAGCACGCTGCGGAGCCGGCATGGCTGGGCGTTTTGCATTGACTGCGGTGCATCCATCCATACCGGACAGCCGTTGGTTGCAGCTGTAAGCAATAGCTTAGCTCACTGAGTGAAACCTACATGCAGGCGATAGGTCCTATGTCGTACGCGCGTAAGCCTGGACACAGGTGATGGGGCCACTGCTGCACGGCACCTCAGCGCCGTGCGAGGTGCCTAAATACGGGCTGCTCAGGTACCTCAGATTTACACCGCGGATGAGCCTGCACAGGACGTGGAAGGAACGAAGGACCAGAAGGACCTCTGGAAGGGAAGGCGCTGACGGACCCCTTCCGCTTCCGACCCCCCAAAAAATCCCAGAAAAGCCAACAGACCAGATCGACTGAGGCGGTCTGTCGAAGCAGCCTAAAACAAAGCACATGGATGTTTGGAGCACCATGTGTGGACAGCCCGAATAACCCAGAACCATACTCCTGGTAGAATGGCTTAAAACGCAGCTCGATCACGGCGGATGGCCCATCCGGCTTACCGCGAGTGTCTCGGCCAGGCGAATCACGGTCTGTTAATGACGATGTTGAGTCGCCCGGCGCTGCCCCGTGCTCCGAAATGCCCAAGCCTCATACCAGATACCGCGCAAACTCACCTGATTGATTAGGTGATATTCGCTTCCTTTGCGCTTCTGGCTGCTTGGCCACGCCCAGCCCTGGCCGACCCCGATCAGAATGTCGGTCCTTTGGGGTCAATCCCATCAATCAGGGCCATCTATTTCTGAGACAATTCCGTCAATTTCCAGAAGAACCGGGGCCGCACCATGGTTGGCCCTCGTTGGTTGTCTATGGACACCCAGACCCCTTTGTTGGGCCCTGCCCATCCATGGAATCGCGAATCGACAAGTCGCTACAATGCAGAGCAGTAATAATAGCCATGACTGGCGGTAGAATCATTGGCCCACGAGCCATACCATGACTCCAAACCCGGCACCACCCGCCTGTATGGCATCCATCTCGCGCACCTCTGCGCCATCCTGAATTCTGGCCATTCTCCGGCGGCTCCCTCCCCGAGACCCTCCCTGAGTCCATCCAGAGTAACTCTGTCATCGATCCCCGAACGAGGCATGAAGGCGGTCCTGGATGACCCACCTCCACGAAACCAAGGAATCGAGGCCTAGGAGGCCGCTCAGGCATGACGATGCGACGCCTCAGCCGCCTCAGGGGCTGGTGCAGCTGGTCAACCGGTGTACCTACCCTCTACCATCGAGTTACTTCCCGATACCAGCCACCTGTTCCATAATAAAGCCACCCAACCGTCAGCCTCAGATCCCGGACCTCACGTATAGCCAAAAACTGACACGGGTTATTGAAATGAGGGTAATTTTGCACAGTGAGGTTTTTTCCCATCTTGTTGGTTTCTTTTGTTTAGTTTCAGCTTATTTCTGGAAGGGGCTTCCCCTTTGGGGCTTAATTTTACGAGCGGAAAACCAGCCAACTTCAGGCCACCACACCATCCGTCAATATGATCGTTGGGCGCCAATCCACCATAGCAACAAGCTCCCCCATCCGAGGAAGAGGCCTCTCTCAACACCCGAAACCCATAATCCATAAGCCATTTCAATTCAACGGGTTCTATTTCCAGGCCCGGAAATAATCTCGCGCAACCAGCAGCCCGCTTACCCGCTTTGAGACATTGGCAGCCCATGATGTTGCAGGGCAGGAATATATAATCATGATTCATCTATTGTTTACTTTGTATCTAGCTCCGGCCCAAGTACAACCGATCGCAGCATCGTCATCAATCATCATCCCCCATACCTGTGAGCCCACTGGTTAGGCCCTGCATCCGCCGCATAAGCAGATCTTCCGAGCTACCCAGCTTCACCAGGCTCTTGTCCTTTGTAAGAGGCTTCCTGCCGCTCTTCCTGCCACCTGTTGAGTTTCCATTGGTTTTCGGCAACGCCGTGGCCGCCTTCTTCGGGCTTGAAGTGCCGGATCCCCCCAGCTCCCCCTCTGGCCCCATCCCATTCTGTAGCTGTTCAGCCTCTCCACTCGCAGCTCTCCTTTCTAGCTTCCGCCTCCCATGCGCGGAAACTAGCGATCCGCGCCCCCCGCGAATTTTGGTCATGGTCATCTCCAGAGGCTTGTCCTCCTCACCGCTAGATTCCACCATACTGTAGTGGCGCATCTGGTTAGCAGCTTCGCTCGCTCGTCTCTGGTCGCGCCGTAGCCGTGCGCTGTCTGCGTGGGCAAACAGTTGCTCAAACCACTCCGCACACCTTTCAAAGTGTCTCCATGCTGGTGGGTACAATGCAGGAAACTGCATGAAACCATGCGAAGTTCCGGGGATCAGCATCACCTCTGCAGCGCCGAGTTCTTTTAGCTCCTCTTCGGACAACGGTTGCCGAGACATGGCACTGCCGGGATCCATGCGGCGCCGTGCCGCTGCCTCCTTTGCTCGACGTATCCGGCCTGCTAGGATGACTGTGTCGTCCACCAATGGGTCTCTCTCTCCCGTCATAAAGTAGGTCTTAGGAAAGTCGGCGAGTAGTGAGTCGGGCGCCAGCACAGGGCTTAGTAGGTACTCTGATCCAAAATCCGGGCGATTGTGCGGCCCAATGTAGAGAATGATCATCGCTCGCATCATTTCCGGGGTCAACACCCTATCATTGAAGTATGAAATCATCGAGGACGTGGCCAGCCTTGTCTTCATCGGCTCTGGATGATGCGAGGTACTGTTTGTTCTCTTGATCCCAGCTCCCTGTTGGGGCGAGTCCAGGGCACGCGAAGCTCCAACTTTTAAGCCTCGTGCAGGCCGGTCGCTCATTCCTCCCGCTTCACTATCATCGACAATGGCGGAATCGGACGCCAACTCTGGGGTTGTAGATTTCTCATCCTCGTCGTCTGAGTGATGGGGCGTGCCCACCAGATCATTATACTCCCTACTCTTGCGTCGAACGACTGATTTGTTGGTTTTTCTCATGTTACGATCACGGATCAAGGACAGCTCCTCATCTGTCATCCAGTTGCCTATGTTCATATCCAACGCAGGATAAAAGCAAACGAGCCCGTCTGGAGGAGGTAGTTCATCACTGTCATGACACCGGAATTTATGCGCACTACCTGTTTCCAACACCATAAGTGTGGCCGCCACTGCCAGATTACCTCCCGCGCTATCACCTGTGAGGATGATTCTAGGCACATCGCGGCCCGACATGCCAATGCACCTACCACGTGTCTGGATCAAGGTCGTGTATACATCGAAACACTCGTTGAGAGCGTACGGGAAGGGGTATTCCGGTGCTTTCCTGTAGTCCAGGCTTAGAATAGGAAGGCCAGACTTGGCTGCCCATGCGAACAGCTTATCGTCATTACAACGCGGATCCATGGCCACAAATCCCCCTCCAGGTATATCAACCACCAATCTATTGTGGTGTTCCAGTTGTGCCAGAGGGCCATCGTAATAGAGCCAAGCCATGACGGGTTCCTTGTAGTCGCTCCCTTTGGGGCGGGGGATACGGACTTGTCTTGGCGGCCACCTCGTGAACCGCGGGCCTATCAGCCTCTGGAAGAAACCTAGATAAGGCGTTGTACTCTTATTCCACGACACCCGGAGGTGGTCAATGGTGATCATGCCGCGAACCTTCCGAACCTTCTCATCGGCCCGCTCGGTAGCGAAGAGATAGAAGACGGAGAAGACGATGCTCGCGATATCACGCAGCCATCTGGTTTTGATCTTCATGGCGGTCCAAAAGCCAGCATCGAGGGCGGTCAGGACCCAGGTGGCGCGGAAATATGTCGGGTCGTACATGTTGGCCATTGGTTCGGGGCTCGCGAGACCGACGAGGGCGCTGAAGTTGCGGGCAGCGTAGAGGTATAGCATGGTCAGGGCAACGGTCTGCCAGGCCGTCAGCCTTTTGGAAAAGAGGCGCGAGAGGCGCTGCGCGCCGGGCGGTCCATGTCTGTCACCCCTAGATGTGGATTGCTGTCAGTCGAGGGGCTCCAACATTGGCAGAGTAACACTAGGGTGGGGGGGGCAGGTAGAGACGAACCGGTAGAGATACACAGTCCAAAAAGACAAGACGGCGAGCACCTGGAGGCGCCGCGACTTGGTCGACGGTCGGCCGAGGACGTGGTCAATCATGTTGGATGCAGGTCAGGGCGGGTGACTGAAGTATGGGAGAAGGCTTTAGTAAAGCATTCCAGCCACCCGAGCGAGACAAGAGATACGGAGAGAAAACAAAACAGAGAACAAAACAGACAGACAGACAGACAGACAGGCGGCGAGGTGACAGATACGTTGCAGGGGAGGTGGAATAGCTAAAGTAAGAATTGGCACAGGAGGACCGAGGAATTGGGAGCGGCCCGCCGACCGATCGGCACCTCGTGGCTCGTGACAGCGGCCTTGTCCATCGTGACGTTGCTGACAATGGGGGAGCAGCGTCGTGGCGGGATTGGTCCACTGCCATCGAATGCGCATTTGGCATCTGACTCGACTTTGGCATGTGAAAGCCAGATTGTGGGGCCATCTCACGCTTCGCCCGTGGGGTGACGCCTGAGCCTGATTCTGGGGTCGCCTACCCTGGACTGGGCATCGCGTGTAAGTCGAGCCTCTCTTATGGAACTTTGTTTCCTGACAGGACATGTGTCTACATCTGAGTCATAGGACGGCCAATACTCGGGATTACCTGGTCATTGCATTCAAGTCTGGACCACCCTCTAGCACTACAGACGTAGAACATGTAAGCATCAGATGCATTGTTTGAAACATGCAGAAAAAGCATAAGCAGGTTAAACCCCCTAAAATTCCATGACTCAACAAACCATAGCCTGAGTGCCTGCGTCCCAATAGTCTTACGGTTTTAGTAGACACATGAATACTGACTGAAAGTGGTGCTGTCACAGAAGAAGTACACATCACCTACTACGGAATTTACCACAGTCGAAATCCTACGTCTGATAATGCTGGACGTAAGGAGCTTGAAGACAGGAGTTAAGCCAAGACAGAGGGAACAGGAATGCGGTATGGAGCACAACATCGCCATAGCTGACAAGAACTCATGAGCTTTTACAAGCATTGTTTGATTGTTTCCAAAACTATCTCTGTAGAACACTACTTGTTTTTCGCCACTTACAATATAGCAACCTATGGGGAGAGCGGCGTTCAACTTTCATTTACCGTATTAGTTTCGGAAGTCATACAGGCTGTACGACACGAATCTCCTTCATCTAACATGGTCGCTGTTTCGAAATAAATTATCTTGATAGTAACATGTTTGTTTTATAAGTCCCCTCTGTTCGTCTTCTTTTTAATCTGTCTGCAAATTTCTCCTTTAGTTCTTGTTCTTCTTTTCTTTGTGTTCACTTTCTCATACACCTTCCCTTTATCTCGCACCCGTTATAAATATCCGCCTCCTGTCCCAGATTTTCGAGACTGACCAGCAGCATCAAAAACCATCAGCCCAAGGGCAGCAAATATTACCACAAATACCTGGCTTAACTTGGCTAAGCTTGATGAGGCCAACGAAAACTCGGTGGCCAGCTGAAAGGCCCAAATAACTAGATAACGCCACCTAGTTTACCGACCACCTTCCCAGCAGAGTTGACTTCCGGCGCTGGAAGGATGGAATCTCATTCAAATCTCATTCGCTTGTGGAAGACATAGGGCGGCACCCTTGTATCGGAGAGACCCTCGGCTTGATCCTTCCAGCCTAGCCTTCATTGTCAAGTTCCTGTCGCCAACGATCCCGCAGCCAATGGCGACGAGATTTCCACTCGATGAGCCAGCACAGCCAGCCGCACTAAGATAACGTGTCGTCCCCAGAAGCTTAAAGCTTTATCGGCGAATGTTCCTGGAGTACCCTCAACCTGCAATGTGTGGGTCTGGGTCTGGTCCACCACTCGCTGAACTCTCCCAGAGAACTTGATATTACTCTGGAAGTACCCGAGGATCAAACATAGAGACGTTAGCCTGGTCGCCCCCCCCCCCCAAAGCTGACCTATCTTCACGCTTCTTGGCTTCAACGAGAAGCACACATAAAGGTGCTTCTGTGAGAGGCGCAAATAACAGTACAGTGCTTCCGTGTGAGGCCAAAGGACGGCTCTTTGAGTTTGAGTTTGAGAGGGAGACCAGGGAGATCTTGAGGATGCTGGGTAGGGGGACAGAAGGATGCATTAATTTTTCGTATCCTAGATACAAGGCCGACAGCCCAGAGGATAAACCATCAGAGTACCCTGGGCAGTGGCTCGGGTCTTGGGGCCATCCTACAGCTCCTTGATATCTTTCCTATTTTCAATAGTTATACCCCCCTTTTAATACATATCATAGCTAGCAAGTTCATCATAATCATTATCACAAATCTCAATAACAATAGAATCTTTTACTAGCACCTTTCCCTCCTTGACCTTCTGCCACACCTCCGGAGTGCAGCTAAACATGAGATTCGTTTCTCCTTGCGGTGCCATACCAAGTACGACTTGGCATAATCCTCTATCAATTCACTTGCAGTAGGTGCAAGCATACAACGCCAACTTGGCATCTCCAACCTTGCTCTTTCACATGGCTGTGGCTCCAGCATGGCTGGTGCAGCAGGCTTTCACTGTTGTTTCTTTGTATGATAAGCAACCCCCGAAGGCATCACCGCACCCCACTCCTTGCGATAGGGCAGTTTATTTCAGTTATCGACCATCGTTCTTAGCCGCCGTGGTGGTTTTTGGCTCGCCCTTCCCAAGCTTTTACTGACTGTCGGGCTGCGCTTTGGCCACCTCCATTTGCAGTCGGTGTGGGAGTTCAAGCTGTACGATAGCCATGGAGAACAAAAAAACAAAAATGTGCAGGAGAAGGCGAGGAGCAGACAGATAAAATCAAGAGGGACAAAGGAAAATTATACTACTAGGTGGCGTATCAAAGTGAAGAGGACGGCAGAAACTGAGAATGCCATAAGACGAGTATCATAGGAGGACAAAAGACAAGGGTATAGAAATAAACAACAGATGAAACAGAATAACAAAGAAAAAGAAATAAACAATAAATGAAACAGAGTTCCGAAGATAGGATGAATGAAGGCAATGTATTTTGTGTGGTAAGATAAGAGGAGGAACAAATTGGAAGACATAGATCTGATCGAGGTCGCTGAGATTCGGAATCAAGCAGAGGAGAGGCTCGGCCCATCTTATGTCGCTGCATTGCATATACTTAGATAAAGCCCACAGGATTTTTGACGTGAGATGATACTCTGTATTTAGTGATTAATCACGTATTGTTTTTGTGGTCATTCGACGTTTGAAACTAGAAAGCTAGGTGCTGGCTTCCGACTGATCATTTCAATCTCTTCATCCTCAACCAGCAATACGCAAGCCCCAGAGAGACGTTACTATAGCTTCCGTCTTCAATCATATTATAGATCCCCCGACCCTGAAGACAATCTGTAAGTCAATTTCCCCTTGTGAGAGTTGAGGTTGGCTGTTCAGCCGATAAATTAGAGTGGTGAATTGCCCTTATTAAGAGAGTTGAGAGTTCAATGCCTCCTGCCACCTCATAGTTAGGAATGCCATCAGCAGACATTCCTTTAATTCATGCATCCTGGTCTCCTTGAGCAAGGCGGACCGAAAGCTCCTTATCTTGCGCGTATACTCGGAGACCCATGACACAGACTGGGTTCCATGGCTGCTTCCTGCCCCTCTCCTGTTCTGTATCTGAATCGGATTCGGACTCGGAGGATTCTGAGTCGGAGTCCGACTCTGCAGGTGTTTCTTCCCCTTCTGCTACTGGTGTATCAGGTTGAGGCTGTGGCGGTAGCGGCGTATCCTTGGTTTGCTCGTTTGCCAGATTATCTGGCTTGGAGGATTGTCTTGCGCTTGACGGCGCACGCCTGGTCCCAACCTCGTCCCTCCTCTCATCCCCACTGCGCTGCACTGTGGTCACTGAAGCATCTATGGAGGGTTTGGAGTATCCCGACTCCGAGGATGACATGTCGCCAGGCCAACATCCAGGGGGTGGCCTGGAATTGACATAGTCGTCGTTTTTTGCATTCTGGCCTTGCGCTTCCTCATGGGGACTGTCGTTCTTCTCCTTCTCGGCTCCTCTCTCCCACTCCCCCTTCTTCTTGCTTAACTCGTCCTGCATCCCGGCCATTGCCTGCTGCATTTTCTCCATGGCTTCCTTCATATCTTTGAGCTTCTCTTGCTTGGCCTTTTGCTCCTTCTTCTTCCGCCTCCGTTGAGACTTCTTCTGTTCTTGCGCTTCATCCTCGTCCAGAACACCAGTCTTGGAGTGTGCTAGATCATACTGCATCCCGACCTGTCGCAGCTTCTGGGGATTGATGTCTGCGAAATCCTTGACCACTTCCTCGACGGTTCTCTTATAAGGGTGTCGCTCGGCTGTGACCCTGGGGAGGACCTCGTATACCCCTGGCTTAAGATGAACCTCGCAGTTGACCGAACGCCTTTCGGCGATTCCACGATGACACTTAGCTTCGGCCAGTGCTAGGGGTGACCCAAGCTGGCGAACAACAAACTCAAGGAAAAACGCGTAGGGCCCAGCGAGGCCGCGGAAATAGCGGTCATCGAGCTGGGAATTCGTTAGCTAAACAACTTATCAAGTTGTAGGCGAAATGTGAAGGGCCTTACCGTGAATAAAACAATAACAACAAGCCCTTCCCTTTTGATCTCAACAATGAACTTTTTCCTTAGGAAGCCAGTTACCCAGCTGACCGGTGAGCTCATCCATTGTTGGGCGACCGTCCACCTTTCATCGAAGAGACGCGTTCGGAAGATCCATCTGAAGTTGCTCAGCACATCCTCAAACGTCATCCAGAAGTTGCCGTTGTCTGCGAATGAGTAGTTCAGCTTCCTGATCATCTCTGGAGTCCATTCCTTGGATCCGTCTGACCAGGGGCCGTGCCACTCTCCCAGACCGTTGTTCGACCTCTCGCCCCATGGGTTTCTATTCCGTTGAGTTAGTCCTTTAACCTTTTGTAATGAAATTCTTGATAGGATTTGATTACGAACCTGACTTTGATGAGCCGGACCTTCATTCCGTTTTCATCTTCAATCTCGACAGCCTTGTGAATAGAGTATGCGTGGCCCAGAACAAGTCCATTTCGATTCGTAGTGGTGTAGGACTCGCTGTTGGCCGTCAACCCGAAGACGAACTCGGAGTCGCTCCTGTCAACTCCAGTCATCTCACGCCAGAGCTTCTCCTTGCGTAGGACCCGGTTACCCGGAATCACTGTCATTACACCGCCTGTGAGGTCTTCCACGGCGTAGCCAGGCCAGCCTCCGTTTATCGACTCGTAGTCACCGTGGACCTTTGCGTACTGTAAACGATTCTTAGTGATCCACCTCAAAAATAGTAGAAGAACTGATGATTTAAAACGAGGGGGGGTTTAGCGTACCGCTTTCTCTAACAGTGGGAGCCACGTCTCATTCTCATTGTTACACTTTGAAAAGAATAACGACTCTGAACCAGTCTGCCTCTCCTTTTTATGCGTACGCGACCTCTTCCCGCTCGGATCGTGGACATTGAAGCTGTGCCCAAAGTCCTCATGGGTTAAATAGAGATTATCATCAATAACGGTCGAGATCCACTCGCCGTCCCTGTAAAAGACGAAACCGTAGACACCGCACTCCTCATCGCGCGCAACGCAGATCTTGTCCATGAGATCCCGGCGGTGGGCGATGTTGGCCACACCGGCGAGCCACCAGCAGTCACCGACAGCCCCTTGCTTGATGTCAGAGCTGGAGAAGCCGTCGACGGTGAACTGGGGGTTCTCGAATATCCAGTCCACTCGGTGAACCGCCCGCGGTCTGTAGGTTGTAGGGGCAGGGGGTGAGTTGTCCGCCTTCATGTAGGTCTCCAGATGCTTGAGATTGACCGGCGCGACGGCGTCGGCGAGGATTCCGCTGCTCAGGATGGTCTTTAGCGAGCGCCTCACCGACCTGGAGCGCCGGGGCCGTCGCTCGTCATCCGATGAAGAATCGTCGGACGAGTCGTCGGAGTCGTGCTGGTGGTGGCAGGTGGTCTCCAGGCCGAGCAGGCAGTCGAACTTCCGGCAGAAGAGGTCCGTGTCAATGTCGAACTCGGAGTCGCAGAACTTGGTGTTTGTGCTCTCGCACTGGGCGACGGCCACGCGGACCATGTCGAGACACCGCGAGCGGGCCTCCTCGTAGCTCTGGGCGGCATTCCGGCCTTGCTCTCGGGGGGAGTCGGCCCCTACGGCGAGATCGCGGTAGAGCTTCTGGGGGAAGATGGAGGTGACCTTGCCGGGGGCCTTGCTGTGATACCGTGACCAGAAGCGGGATACGACGGTCTGGGGATGGATCTTTGAAGCCTTTCTTGAAGGCTGCTGGTCCCCTTGAGAGACATACATGATCAAACAGTATACACAGATCCAGGAGAGAGTAGAAGGAGATTCAGAGGATATAAATCAGCCTCTTGTCGCCCCCATTACCAATCACGAGGGGGGAGAAGAGAGGAGAAGGGTTGATGCCTAGACACGCACACCTACAGCGAGATCGGGAGCATGATATATTACACAGCATGAGGAGGCTCTATACGAAGTGCCATGGCGAGGCGAATACAGACGTGGACAGCTCCAGCTTGGCATCCTGCGCAAGGCATCACAGCTGTACCGCCTTTCGGAGCCGCTTTAGTGCTTCGGTACATGGAGGAGGCCAATGGGGGATGCGGCTGGGGGCGGGATTGTGGAGAGGGGATGCAATGGTGAAGCCACCAGGAGCGCGCAGGAGGTGTCGGGCCAAGGCTATGGGGGCAGGGCGATCTGATCGGTGGGCCAGGACATGCAGGTGAGCACATGGATGCCCAGTAGGGCTATATCCATGCGGGACTATCGGTTGTCAGAGTCTCGAGACTCGGGGGAATAGCAGACACCCATCACGATGGCGAACGAACGAATAGTATCCTGGCGGTGGGAGTATAGGCGGGCAGCTGGCCACGTCGATGCAGCACATCGGCGCCGGCACATGAGGATTGCCTCAATGCGTGATAAAGCGGCCATAGCAGCATCTGCTCGGGTGTTGAGAGAGCCGCAGAAGGGAATGGAGCACCAGGCAGTGTATCGCCTCGGTGCTGTGGATGTGGTGGTTCGCAAACCACGTTGAAGCGGATAGGGCTGAGAGGGCGGTGCTTCGTATTTCCGGCGATAGTCCAGGTCTAGTTTACGATGACTCAAGAGATGGCCTGACGTCATGCGACTAGCTCTTCGGGGTCGAGGGAGACTGATGCGTGAGGGAGAGCGAAGAATGCATCCATGTCAGATGGACGCTGTTGCCTGACTCAGCCATCCGCGACGGCTCCATCAGACCTGAAGAGTGCTGGAGAGCCTGCGGGATGCTCTCTCAGCCTTGCAGCGCCTGAGACCGACGGAGCTGCCTGTGCCATTGCATGGTGACAGTGACCAAGAGAGTGCAGAGTGAGCAGCAGTAATACAGCATCCGAGTTCCGGAGAATTGCTTCCAGCACCGTTGATGTTGCATCATTGCCTTCGGACTGTTCTGATGTTCTGACTGCAGGTTGATGTGCTCGCCAAGGGAATAGGCGGTGGGCGATCGCCGCGATGCTCTGAGCGTTGGGATTTAGGGCACTATCCGCCATCCGCCCCTCCTGAGCGCTGGCCCTGGGCGTCTTCCTGTCCCCCTTCCGCGGCCCCGGTTATCCCTCCCAAATCCCATGACCGATGCCGAACGCCTCCACCTCCATCCATCCACCTCCTGCAAACCTGCGCCACCGAGGGCCAGTTCCATCCTCACAGCTTCGCCTCTTCCCATCGCCCTGCTCTGCCCTGACCGACCGACTGCGACGCTTGCTCCTGTCAAGGGAGCTGGGAATGATTACGGCCCCACACCGTCCCCGATGGGGTCTTCTTCCTTGCACACCTGCCGGACCCCTCCGTTACCTTGACTGAAACTCGAAAGCTTCACCCGTTTTGCGACCACTGCCCCGCCCACCGCATCATGGACGTGTCTGACCCGGCAACCCCCGGGCGAGAGCCCAGCGCACGAGAGCCGCCTCAACCAACCGACGGGGAGCCGCAAGCATCACCGCGCCGAGCCTCTCGGACATCTGAATCGTCGACTGAGGATGGCTACCGCATGAGCCCAGCTGCTGCGAGGCGGTTTGCCCGCAGGAACATGCGGAGGACCTCACCGACGCCAGATCTCGTCACCAGCCTCGTCCGCCCCCCTTCGCCCGAGGCATTCTACGTCGCCGACCAGTTCCGCCAGAACAATGCGAGATTAGACTATGGTGGTCCCTCGATGGCGAGGCTGCGGCCAATTACTGGCGGTCGTGCCTTGGTTCCCTCTCCCAGGCGAAGGTCGGGACCATTACAGTCTCCTCATCCTTCATCGCTTGATATCCCCAACAAGTACGGTGGGAACTGCATATTTGACATGTACGCCCTCACATACGTCGTGGAACCGGATACCAGCCTGCTCTGTCCCATATGCCACGATCCACTGGTAGATCCGGTCACTACACCCTGCGATCATACCTTTTGTTACAGGTGTCTCCGGAGGAGCATTGAGTCGAGCCCATCTGGGACTGCCTGCCCTATCGATAGAGAACCGCTTACCTGGTCTGACTGTTTTAGCGCCGAGAGGCTGGTGCGCACTCAGCTGAACAGCCTGCTTGTCAAGTGTCCTAACCGTAACCGAGGGTGCAACAAGCAGATCCGACGTGAGGCGATAGAAAGTCATGCTCGGATCGATTGCCGATTCAAGGACTACCCGTGCCCAGACGCTGAGTGTGATAAGCGTGTGAGGGACAAAAGCGCCGATGACAAATGTCTGCATGACGAGAGCCCGTGCAAGTACTGCCATGAGGCCGTGGAGGAGGCAGAGAAGGAGTGGCATTTGGTGTCATGCCCCAAAACAAAGACTCGGTGCGAAGCCTGCTGGCAGCTCGTGCCCAAAGCTTCCATGACCGAACATCACGAACTCGAGTGTGATGGTGCCGAGGTCGCATGCACATATCACGACCTGGGTTGCCCCGTTCGCATGGAGCGCGGCCATCTGGCAGAGCACACTCTTGCATGCGCCTTTCATCCCGACACGGCGTCGGGCATCATCATTAGATCTCAGCGCGAGCTTATTCAAACCTACAGCGATCTATCGACCCGCATGCAGGATATGCAAAAGGTCCAGGAGGAGACGGCACAGCGCCTTGAACAGCTGACTAAGGCGGTAGAAAAGTCCGGCCCGATCAGCACCAGCAGTGTGAGCGAGAACAGGACGATCCAGGACCTGGATGCGGGCTTCGAGGAGGTCCATCAGAACCTAACTCACCTGGAAGCGCGGCAGAGCATGTGGACGTTGAACCAAGTCATGCCCATAAGAGAGGAAGTGGCCGAGCTTCGGAACAATGTCAATATGATTCGCATGCATCTCAACTGGCTGAGAAGCCGCGAGGAAGGCAGGATGAGGGCCGCCAACAACATGACCAGTTCAGGCGACAGAAACCCTGTTCTCACTGAGCGACGGCGTTCGTCCAACCCCGATATGGATATCCCACGTCTCTAGCTTCCATGTCACTTGGCACATCCTTTCTCTTGTCTATGTGATTTCATTTGTTCATGTGGGGATACTAATAGGGCAAATTCCGGAGTTCAAGGTTTATTTTTTGGTGGTACTAGCTATATACACACAGCGGGCTGTTCTATTTCCTAGACAGAGGGTTCTTTGGCAAAGTTTTTAGTCTAGCAACTTGATAAAGAAGGTTGACATGGTGGTGCCCTGTCCATGATATGCTGTAAGATAGTGGAAGCTTACGCTGAATCCATGTCCAATTTCGCGCAGAGGCGTTGGTAAGCCCAGTTGGAAGCTTCTAGCGGAGTTGGCGGAGCGAACTTAACATGCGGACTTGGGTTGGGCAGGTGGGAGTCAATAAACGCACGAGCAGGCTAGATTCACGCTCCTCTCCCTCCTACACCCTATCATCGGCTTTGAGTGTCATTTCCCGCACGGATTAGGACATATTGGCGCCTCGCACGAGATACACAGCACCTACTTTGGCTCCCTCTGCCGTCCCGCCCCCCAAGACCCCTAACTGCCTAACCTAGAGCAGCCCCCAGACGCCTGCCTGAAGCACTGTGCTCTATCGATAGTTCGCACGTCATTCCCCCACAGCCGCGCCTGCAGTCGCCAACACCTTCTGCCCGTCCGTGCGCGCCGTGTGCCTAGACGCTGGCGGTGACTTCAGCCATTTCCCAGACCTACCTGCAAGTCCATGAATTAAGCCTTGCGACTCCCTCCCCCACCAACCCCTCTCTCCCGACCTTCAACATCCTCCCTCACCACCGGGCCTTTTGTCAACCATCCCGAGGACACGTTAGCCATGGATCCCAACGAGAATCCCCCTTCATGGGTTGGCGGAGATGGTCCAGATAAAGAGAAGATGGAGCAGGTACCTCACGCACCCCACCGACAAGTGCTGCCTGTAACCACTTCACGATGCTGATTCCCAACACCAGATCCGAGCCAGACGTCTCGCCAAGCTTGGCTCCTCAGCGCCAGCTGCCCCTAAACCAGACGACGCCAGCAGTTCGACCGGCGGACAGCCCCGGAAGCCGTCGTCGCCAGCTCCATCCGCATCCTCGTCCTCAGCCCCCCAGCCTGCCGTCGCAGGAGCTCCGAGCTCGAACCCCTTCTCAAGATTAGGCACTGATGATGGCAGCCGTAAACCATCGGACCAGACAAGCTCAACAGGTACACCTCGTCCCTCCCGCAAGCGGCCAGCATCCGATAATGTTGACGTTGGCTCTCCAGCTCCGCCACACAGACCGACCCCCCCTCCGGCCGAGTCAGACGAGGACTATGCGAACCGCGTGCTCTCCCAGATCTTCCGCATCACCGTCAACCCGCATCAGATGGCCAGCTCGGGCGGCCAACGGTTGATATTCCTGCCCGGCCTGAACGAGGAGCTGAACGAGGCACGCGAGCCCTTGAAGATCACAACAGCCAACCTGGACCAGGCCGTCCTCGAAGCTGCGAGCTCATTGCCCCAAGACAAACCTCTGATGGATTTCCTGCTGCCGTGCTGGAAGCGTGCTGTCAAGGCTGCTTCCTCTTCTAGGTTCCCGACCGGCCCCAAGCACGAGGTTCACGAGGAATCAAAACGGCTGGCCCTGAGTCACTGCCTCTTTTCATTGACGCTGCCGGACCTCTACGGGTAAAATAACCTTTTCCTCGATGCTTGATTTTGTCTTGAGCATCTGAAATTCATTGTCCCGAGTCTAACATTCATTTAGACGGGGACCCAATCCTAATCACGATTCATTGCTGCCATATATCTTGAAAGGCGTTTTGGATGAGAATGGTCTCGATCTCGAATTCTACAAGGAGGCTATTAAACGGTTTGATGACGACGAGGCAGTCCCATCCCTCTTCACTGATTCCATGGTCAAAATCAGTACCCGTCTAGGAACCATGTCGATGGAAGATGACTATCGACCTTACGTTCAGGTAGGTAACACAAGGGCTAGGATGGGAAAGACTTCTGTATTGACCTTTTTCTAGGCATTGTTGGTGTATGCACGATTCCCCGTGTTGATCACAAACTTGGCAAAACATCCCACATTCAACATGGCGCAATCGGCTCCGGGTATTGAGAAACACACATTGCTTGGTCCCTTCTTCCGTCTGTCGCCTCTCCAGCCAGAGGCCATCCGTAGTTACTTCCCCGGGGCACGGACGTTGGACAAGTCAAGAATCGCAAACGCGCAGGATTCTCTGCGCATGGTTTTACGGACACACCAAGATGACTTATTCGTAATTGCTAATGCATTTATTCGAGCTGGTCTCGAAACGCGAAGCCGTACCTTGGACTGGTTTGCTTATGTTATGAACAGCAACCACAAACGGAGAGCGCTTCAAGTTGACCCGCGCGAAGTGGCCTCGGATGGTTTCATGCTGAACATCACCACGATACTGGACAGGTTCTGTGAGCCTTTCATGGATAACGACTTTAGCAAGATTGACAAGATCGATGTCCGGTATTTCAAGCGAAAGCCGCGAGTTGATATCAAGGATGAGACCAAAATCAACGCCGACCAAGCGGCGGCGGACGAGTACTACTCGCAAACTGAGGCTGGTGAATCCAACTTCATTTCAGAGGCCTTCTTCCTCACTCTTGCCGCACATCACTACGGTAGCGAGGCAGCGAATTCGCAGCTGAAGAACCTGGACCGGGAGATTAAGTATCTGGAAAAGCACATCAAGGCCATGGAGGCAGAGCGCCCTAAGGTGGCCAATGTCCCTGCTCAGCTCCGGCTTTTCGAGGAGACTCTCAAGCGCCGTACTACCGTTCTGGAAAAGACAATCGCCTTGAAACATGCCATCGAGGGTGTACTCCTCGACGAACGTATGCAGAGCACATCTCTTCGTTTCATGCGATACGTTGCGGTTTGGCTGTTGCGTCTGGCAACGGGATCTGATTACAAGCCTGGACAAGAGAGCCAACAGATCAGGTAATTTTTTCTAGATGTGATGTTGATATGCCAATGAAGTATTGTTACTGACGTGGCGGATGTTATAGTCTTCCACTATCAGCCGAGCAACACAACGGTGCATTCGCATGCTTGCCGGAGTACGCTCTTCAGAACATCGTGGACAACTTCAAATTCGTGTTCCGGTTGGTGTTTACTGTGCTCTGATTATTGTCAAACTAAAACTAACATTGTCACTTCTAGGTGGCTACCAAATATTCTGCTCAGCGCCGTTGGCGAAGAGCTCATCGCACTCTGCGTTACACTCCTGCGCTCATCAGAATATATCAAAAACCCCTATCTCAAGTCTTCTCTCGTAACACTTCTGTTTAGTGGAACGTGGCCTTTTATGCACTTAAAGAAGGGTGTTCTGGGTGACCAGCTGATTGGCATGAAATTTGCCAACGACTATCTTTTGCATGCTCTCATGAAGTTCTACATTGAGGCCGAGTCGACAGGTGTTAACACCCAGTTCTACGACAAGTTCAATATTCGATACGAAATCTTCCAGGTCATCAAATGTGTCTGGGTCAATGATGTGTACAGGCAGCAACTGACCCGTGAAAGCCAGTATGTATTTGACTGGCAATCCCTTCCACGCTACTCATGCTAACTACCGTTCCAGCGTTAACAAGAACTTTTTTGTGCGCTTCGTCAACTTGTTGCTCAATGATGCAACCTATGTCCTGGATGAAGCATTCACGAAGTTCCCCAAAATTAGAATTATCGAGAGAGAGTTGGAGGATCCCACGCTCTCTGCAGAGGACAGACAAAAGAAGGAAGAGGAATTACAGACTCTGGGGAGCCAGGCCACGTCGTACATGCAACTCGCTAACGAGACTTTGGAGATGATGAAGCTGTTTACCGAAGCACTCGGAGACTCTTTCACAATGCCTGAGATTGTCACTCGTCTGGCCAGCATGTTGAACTACAACCTCGACACTCTTGCTGGCAAGAAGGCCGGTGCAGAGCTTAACGTCTCTAACCGAGAGAAGTATCACTTCCGACCTATCCAGCTAATCTCTGACTTTGTTTGGATCTACCTAAATCTCGCGTCATCAAAGGTTTTCATTGATGCTGTTGCCGCAGACGGCCGATCCTACAAGCCCGAGGTCCTTGATCGGGTAAGCAGGATCTTGCAGTCCCGGAACCACATGGACCCGGCCGACATTGGACGATGGAATACCCTCAAGGCCAAGTTCTTCGAGTCCAAGCAAGTGCTTGATCAGGCCGAGCTTGATCTTGGCGACATCCCAGCCGAGTTCGAGGACCCCATCATGGGCGACCTCATGACCGACCCAGTTCTGCTGCCCAGCAAGCACATTGTAGACCGTTCAACGATTGCTCAGCACCTTCTCAGTGACCCCAAGGACCCATTCACCAGACAGCCCATGACAGTGGACGATGTCATCCCGCAGGATGAGCTCAGAGAGAAGATTGAGAAGTGGAAGGAGGAGAAGGTCAAGGCGGCCCGGGAGAAGTTTGAAGCTACTGCCATGGATACGAGCGAGTAGACGGCACTTATCACGACCTTTCTTTTAATTTTCTTTCTTATTTCAACCATTGCTCTCTTAAAGCTATCGCATATGGAAAATCCCTGGCAGGGAGGATTCAAGGGGGAGACAAATCAACAGAGGGGGAAATAACTCGTCCTGTTTATTTTCTCATTCCTGGTATTGAAAAAAAGGGTTGTCATGTCAGATAGATCAGCCAATGTTTTTTTTTCTTGATGAGTTGACGCACATATTCTGGGTTGGTTGAAACGTTGGGTGCCAACGAAATTTAGCAGCATGCCATTGGGAATGGGGCTGGCGTAAAGTATGCTCTGTTGAGCGGTTCTAGCCACAGAAAATAGAGGTTTGATTTTCCGGGTCGACCGAGACGTAGTTGTCGTCCAAATTGCGCTGTCCTACCTCATATCGCCGTGTCTTCACCCGCTGTTGTAGGCATAGGAGCAATACAATGGAATAGGCAGAGAAACTTCGCCAGGTCGAATGTAAGAAGGAACACTTAATACTGAAAACTCGGAGACGTAACCATTTCTATTCGTCTCAGACGTAAAAACACAAAAAACAACTCGCTAACTATCCCGTGAAGAAACCCATGAATCCGGACTAAATCTTCAAGCACCCCTACCATCATCCAGGCCATGAGATGGCCGTGCATGCGACACAAATCTCGTTGCGACCCAATGGCCCCGTCTCCCTCACGAAGAACCATCAGAAGATGGCTGGAAGCCGCTGTGGAAGAACAGGAGATAAAAAATCAAAACGCCGTAGTTCAGAAAAATATCCTCCTTATGCTGTGTGTTCCCAAAAGAAATCCCGCTTCAAGCCCATGATAAAGTACTGGAATCCATCCCAAAAGAAGATAGAAGCTGAAAAGAAAAAAAAAGGGGGCACGTAGGGGGGAAGGTTGCAAAAAGGGGAAGCTCATTGCCCTTAGAGAGTATCATCGAAATCGCTTCTGTGTAAATCAGATGTAAAGAAACCGGGCTTAGCCCCCTGTCGTCGTGTGACGTATATAGTTGCATCATTCATATCCCATCATGGCATCGCGGACCAATGCTCGGAGTTGAGATCTCAAGACTCGTTCTCGACCTTGGTGGCGATGGCGTCCCACCATGGGCCATGTGCAGCCTTGTCCACGGCGCCAATCTTGTCGAGCAAGGTCGAGATATATCGTACCTTGTCAACAAACTCGGATAATCCAAGACTGGCAAGCTTCTCACCCGCGTTATTCGCAGCCTTGACCTTCTCGCTGGCTGAGCCGGGTGCGAGGCGGGCCAGAATATTCCCACGAAGGCGCGTGAGCAGCAGTCGCAGAACGGGTTCGCGAGGTTCGGTCCCGTTTCGAGACATGTCCTGGCTGGCGTGCAGGACCTTGGACACAAGGGCGCGAAGGTGAGTCTTGGTCGCCGCTGGCATGGATCGCCCAGCTTCGAGTGCAGCCATGGTCCCCTCGAGGGTTGTGTCCATCGAAGGATGCTCCGCCTCGAGGACGGACATGATTCTGGCGGCCTCGACCTTCCACGGCGAGCGAACATCTCTCTTGAGCAGATTCTTGCACTGGAGCAGGACAGCACCCACGGTGATGATGCGTTGAATCATTCGTGAAACCTCATCAATTCGCTTGCAGTCCAGTCGAAGCATCTCAGGTACCTCGCTATAGTTGATGGGCATGGGCTGCGTGAAAATGTCCACGAGCATCTGTGCGTAGAAGCGCGTAGCAGTGGGTGCATTCTTGGGATGATTAATGCCCTCAGGGTCCCTCCTTTGAGCCTCTGCCAAGGCATGCGAGCGAGCGGAGCGCCATGCTGCCTCCGCAGATCTCAGGTTGATCTGGCCCGTCTCCACCTCCTCCACAAATCTCTTTGCCTCGTACTGCGGAGCTGAGTCTATCAATCCAGGTGCAGCTACTCGGAGCAAGTAGTTGATGTAGTCACAAAGCATAACGTCAATAAATCCCTTGAGTGCCTCGACACGATCAATCAGATTGCCGTCGTTGAGTTTGTTCTGAACCAGATCCTTGACTTCGTCATCCCGGAAGGGAGCGCACAGCTTTGGCAGCAGTGAGGACATGGCAGCGAAGAATTTCTCGTACGAGAAATTCCCAAGGGTAAACTGGCGCTCGGCCATCTCGGGGTCCAGTATCTCGCCAATGAGATTGTACATGGAATTCCCAGGCTTGAGAAGCCTTTGAAGCTTGTCTTTGATATCCTTGGTAAGAGCCATGAAGGCCTTGAAGTTGGCCTCTGGGTGGGAGCTCTCCATGTTGGCTCTCATGCTCGCATACAATGGCCGTGAGAAGACTGCCTGCTGCTCCTGGTATTCCTCTGAAGGAATCTGGTACTCCTTGTTGATGGCCAGCTCGTGAACCACAACTCGGTTGTCGGGCAGTAATCCGTTCAGACCAGTCTTGATCGTGGGTCGTCTCTGTCCAGCCTTGCCGGCAGGGGTCGAAGGCGGCGTGGGCACTTGCACAGGAGACGAGACAAGACTGGTGGCTGTTGCAGAAGCTTCGGATGGTGTCGTTTCGGCAACTCGGGGCTTGGTATCACCAGTCTTCTTCTTGGCTCTTCTGGCTTTTCTAGCTTCGCTCACAGCATCGAATATGAGCTTCTTTCCCTTCTCAGGTCCTGCCAACTTCTTGATCCTCACGATAAGCATTAGTTGACTGTCCTGAATGCTTTGGCGGTACAGCTGAGAGGCAGCGTCATCAGTTGAATCCTTGACCGTCTGGAAGATGGCGTCGAGTTCCACAAACTGCATCAACATCACTTCGATCAGTGCGTTTGAATCTCGTGATCTCCAGGCAATGAATGCATTGTAGAAAACGGCATATGCCTCGGAAAGCGTCGTCTTCAAAGCTGGAGGCATCGTATATCGGTTTGCAGAAGTCAAGCGAGCCGTGATTTTCTCAAAGCAAATAAGTAGATCCTTGGCCTTGCTCATCAGGTCCTGCAGCTGAGGGTTGTCAAGGTCGGCTGCAGGTAGACGATGTGCCGCCATCTCGTCCCCGTCCTTTTCGTCCTTGTTGCTGAGAACTTGGGCAGGGTGTCCAAGAATCAAAAAGGCACTGAGGAATGTGCGCACGGCAGCCATCTCCCCGACAGATCCCGGCTCGTCCTCGCGGAGCCCGCAGATGCGGAGAAGCCGTGCCGATATCATGAGCACCTTCTCCTGTGCCAATAGTTCCACGACGCTGTCAAATTCTGTCTCTCTAATCCCGTCGACGGACAAGCCCAAGCTTGTGAATTCTTGCATGGCCATCTTCCTCGAGCACCCCAACCACCAACCCGAAATCTTGGCGGCAGCCGTTTCAGGAGTCATGGGGGGTCTCTGGCGCTCTTTGGAGCGTGCTGCAGGATCGGTTGCTCTCTTAGCCATCACACTCGAAGCCCGCCCACGCCCCTTGGAACCCTTGAGAAGCTCCTCCCGGCGCCTCTCAGCCTCGGCCAGGCGCTCCTCCATCTGCAACTTCATCTTGGCGAGCTCCTGCTCACGCTTCTCCTTGATAAACTCGGCTACCTGCTTCGCCTTCCTCACTTCCTCGGCACAGTTGGCCACAATCTCGGCTAGGTTCCGTTCCCTCGCTTGCTGTGCGGCCAGGGCGCGCTCCTCGGAGACGGACGTGTCCCGGTAGGCGGCCTTGGCCATGGCGGCCCTCAGGCGGACCTTTTCAGCATGTGCAGCGCGGTCGGCCAACCGGGCGCGACGGTCTTCGAGAAAGCTGGCTCTGCGGAGGTGCTGCGCAATGTGCTTGCTCTGCTCGCCGTTGCGGTCGGGTGGGTTCTGGATAGAGGAGCATCGTGAATGTGCTGACGATATTGAGTTCCGGCGCGATGACGCTGCTGAATCCCGACGGCGGGCGTGTGAGGGTCTGTAGAAGCGGGCGGCGATGCGCGGTGGCGGGGTGAAGATGCGGCTCTCTTCTTCGAGAACTTGGTCTTCGGTGGGGGGCATGCTGAGGTCGAAATCGGTCTCCATGACATCGTCATCAGAGGGTCGTGCGTTGCAGTCGTCAAAGGGTCGCGCCGGTTCGGCAACATCAAGGGAGGAGCGACGCATGGTGGCGCCTCGCTGGGTGGCTGCGCTATAGGTGGTTGTCTAGTTCGAATATGATGTGGTGGCAGGATATGAAAATGGTGAATAGAAGGGAGGATGAGGCCAAGGAGGATGGGTGGGAACGTGGGAGAATAAGCTCAAGTATGGCCGAAGAAGGACGTTGCAGATGAGTGCAGCCTGGACGATGACTTCCTAGGAGATCGACCCCCGAGGTTATTAGGGCGTTTCGCGTCGAGCCAGGGACCAGGTCCTTCCAAGGTCGCTGATTCAGGCTCCAAACAAGGTGGGCAGTAGCACTAATTCATGCAATGCAATCAGCGAGTCGACGGAAGCGGCGGGCACTTGGGGTTGTTGGGCCCCCAAAAGCAGAGTCGGGTTAGGGCGCTGGGCTCTCTTGAAAAGAACTCTCGAATAGTGGCGTTGGTAAAGGCGAAAGGAGCGAGAAGAGAGGGGGGAACGAGTAAATGAAAAACGAACGGAGGGTGGAGGGTGACAAACGATGACCCAACGCAACCCGGAGACGACGAAGAAGAATATGGATGTTTGGAGAAGATTGGATGCTCAATCTTGCGCGCTCGCACACCATTTGGTGGCACTTCAACGTCTGTCCCCCCCGCACAGGGCTTCTGCAGCGCCCAGCAGCAGTACCTACTACTCACCTGGGCTACCTACTCTCACTCCTGGCGCTTGGTTCTCCAGTGCTCCTGTCGCAGGCCCCTAGACCCGAGCTGGGCTGTGTGGGGCGCCTAGTACTTCAGCAGTACTTGGATCGATCTTCTAAAGGCTTCTTGGCCAAACCACTAATCTGCAGATGGCCGGAGCGTTGAGCCCGCGGACAGCCTTGAGTCAGCCATCATCTCATCCTCGATCTCGACTCCATCCTAGCTTGACTCGTAGCTAATTGTGGCCGGTCATGTAGAAACGTACAATACGTGGCAGCGGCATCACCAGTGTCTTCTGACCCGGCTCTGCAGGTTGGTCAGCCACCGTCAAGAGTAGTCAATCAATCATGTACCTCCCTCATCCCCACTGCATGCTGCCAGTCTTACAGATCACATCGGCTGCACAGGCCGCCCTTGTTCACGCATCATGCACGCCTTTCCGGACACGCAGAAATTGCCAATTCCGTACGTATCGTCAGAAGGACGCTCAGACATTCCAGACCCTCCTGCAGGAAGCTGGTCCAAGCCCGCATACGGCGAACGCGCCACACGAGCAGGCATCGTGCTGCCTTTTATCAGGTCCATGTCTATAGTACCGCGCCCGGGATGGGCAGATAAGTACCTCGCTAGTACCATATTTTTTCCTGCACGACACCAATAGCCCTTGAAGTTAGCCCCCCGGGCTCCACGAAAGGTCCTGGCCAACACCACACATCAACAAACAAGATGAAGCTGCCTTGGGCGGCAGAACTGATAACAGGCCAGACATGAAGCGCTTCTTTAACAGGAGATGGAAGGCAGCTCTACCGCTTGAACAAGTGCCCGGCCCTGTATCAAGATACGGACCTCTCGTTCATATGTCGACGTACCACCTCCAGGCAGCCAGCCAGGTACCCGCATTCTTTAAGCTCAGCCAATCAGCGCAGGCGTTCTGCCTCATCTGGCTGGTCGATCAGCCCCGATGATGCAAGTGCTCTCCTTTTTCGCATCAACGTCCCCTGTCCAGATACATTTGTCATCCGCATATTGGGGGCTCGTCGTACATGTACAGCTAGCTACGAGGTCCATGTCATTCCATTCTAGTCTAAGTGGCACGGATCGTGGTTTCTCTGCAGGTAGTTCGTATTGTTACATGGACCTACTACGCCGATAGGAATGTAGGCGCCAAAGATGGACAACTACTCGACCATCTTGTTGACCCCTTTGCATATCTGCGGCCTCAAGGAGTAAACCGGGAGTTCCCAATGAATGTTCCCTCTCGGGGAGCAGTGAACTAATCCTTGCCATGAATCATTGCGCATGATCGTGTCCCAAGCAGGCGCTTTCATTGCCATTACCCGTCCCATTTCGCTTGCCCCTTTGTCAAAATAAAATCGAATCCAAGATCAAGCCCATAAAAGAACCTGTATGCAGACATGATACCTCAAAACGCCCCGTAACGCCTGAATCCCCTTTGCTTGTTGCTTTGTGTACCCACCAGCCCGTTCGCACCTATGCCAATGCAATGCTGTAGTAATATTTGTCGCACTATGCCTTTTTGTCCCCCAATGGTTTCTCCAATGCTGTGTTCTCGAACCCATGACAAATACAACCAACAAATAGTTCGGCCAATCAATCTCTTATGCTCGATCGCGTAGTGCCTGTTGCAGACTTCCACTTCTTGCTCTGGCGGCTCCCAGTGGACCAACTGATGGCCTGCTTCCATGCACCCTATGAACCCACTCCAGGACCGTCTCATAGCAAAGGACAAACTGTCGCAGACTCTGCACCATGCTAAGTCTCTGTCGTCTAAAATCTTCCACCGTTGTCTCAATGAGATCAACCGTATCATCAGCAACCCAGCTGGCGTTGCTCAAAACCTCCCCAGAACGAGCTCCTCTTTCACCAATCGACTTCTTGATGCTGGCATTACTGAAGCTCATCCTGCGATTCGTCTTTGGAGAAACAATATCATGAGCCTCATCCATCTGGATGTCCCCTTCCTCATCACTCTTGACATGGTGATTGGCACTCCTCGCGCGACGTTGCCGTTTCAACATGTCAATAACACTATCAACGGCGCAGAAAGTACCTGTGCGACCACAGCCAGCAGAACAGTGCACCAGCATGGGTCGTACGCGCTTATCTGACTCTGGCTCGTCGTGCCAAGTAGCCTGTGTATGATTGATCGAAGCCCGGCCGCCCACAACCGATGGTGTCTCCACAGGGAGAGCAGCGCGCTGCATGATGTTGGCAAGCTCTACCAGGGCGAGCAGGTGAGAGGGCTGAGCTGGGGCTCCAAAGTCTGGCCATGACGAGAAGTGTAGCTGCGTGATCTCTCGCATTGGTTCGAAAGGATGGGCTGCGTGAGATAGTGCAAACTTTCGGATAACAACGTATGGCGTTTCAGCTTGAGTCGTGACCGGTCGGCTCGATGGCGCAGGGGTCTCAAAAGCTGCCATCGTGTTGGCCCTTCTCCGGGGAATCTCTCCCATCGCAGAAGGTAAAGGAGAAACGATCGAATCGCCCCGGTGTTTGTCGATGTCAAGCGAAGCCTTCTTTTCCGATAAAGGCTTTAGTTTGAGATGTCCGTAGTCCTTCTCTTTCCAGTACGAGTGACATTTCAGCTGGCCACCTTCCGATTCAGCTGTCAACATGACAATGACACGAACGTCTTGTTCCCATACAACAGACCAGAAATCCTATACAATAGTTAAATCAGTCAGCCTTCTCTTGTCTATCGCTCCGTGGAGGGGAAGCTTCGGGGTTAGTGTCTTACCTCAAACGTCGTGGGAAGAGGGCCCTGGGAGGCGATGTAGCGCTTGTTGCTCATTGAGGGCTGGATGTGGCTTGCGTTCACGTAGTCACATGAACCATCCGGCTTGCAATGTAGCTTAACCCTTGCGTGCTCAAACGGAAGAATGTCTTTATATCGGTTCTTACCACCTTGCTCAACTCCAATGAGCTGCACGGCCCCTTGGACATTATGCTTTGGGTTGAATGCGGCATAGGCGCTCTTCATTCGCGACATCTCATCCTTCTCAATGTGTAGAAATTTGTCTGCCACCTTCTTACCCTTGTTGGGTTCCTCTACGGCCTCGCGAAGCCATTTCGGGAGGAGCGGGGAATCCAATGCCTCGGGGCGAGACAGCTCGAACTGACCAACACCATCGGCCAGATCCATATTCTGGCGGATGTTGGAGAAGAAGGGGTTCGGCTCATTCCCACATGTAGGAAGCGAGACGCCTCCAATTACTGGGGCCAATCCTTTGTTGGATGTACCGCAGGCAGATTCGCAAGAGGATCTCTGTTCAAGCAAGGTTGGGTAGTTTTCCTGGAAAGCGGTGAATCCTCCGCGCAGAATGAAAGTCTCTCCCGAGAAGCCCTCGTTTGTGAATTTCTTAATCATATTCTGCGGTGCCACTGCATCTCTCTTATCGGACGAGTAAGCATCATAGACAACGATTGTCTCCATGTCTCGCCACGTCGAGAACTTATCGGCGTCAGTTTCGCTAGAGAAAGTCTGCTGTAGTCTCTGGGTGTTAAATGTAGCTCTTTTCAACAAGGTGGTTGGTATGCACAGGTTGAGAGCTCCCTGGATGTGAGATTGCGCGTAGTTTTGCGAAGATCGAATATCTAGTACGAGCAGGCGGCCTTGGTTCGTGTCACTCATCATATCCTTAAGTTGCTGTCCAGATATCATTGACTGTGTCATATCCAGCTTGATCGGCATGGTCGCTGCACGGCTAACCTCGCCAGGCGAAGGTACTGGCGGCTCCAATTTGTGCTCCATTATAGACAGTCGAGGGTCGCGATCCTCCGCCTTGGTGAGCCCAGTTCGCTGCTGCGTGCCCTCAATTGGCCGTGGAGACTCATATCGAGTAAGGCCACCCAGCTGCAATGGGAAGAGTGATGACTCTGAGTTTCGCTTCGAGTCCGATGAAACATATGCCGAATCGTGAAGGCTATCCTGGTCTATATCCATCTTGAAAGCTGGCTGGCGTTCCTTGGCGGAGTTGGCGAAACGTGGAAACGCCCTTTCTGAATCCGCGTCGCTCGCGTGAGTGTGCCATCTAGGCGGCGGGGGAGGCCGTGTGGGCGCATTCCTGACAGTCGGCAGGCCAAAGGTGGCTGATGATATCGAGAGTGACATGCCTCTGTTAAGGTCAGCTTGACGCTTGAAAGCTTCAAACTCGGGATTGGCATCCAGGGGCAATTGCGTGGGGATTGCGGCGGCAAAGGACTTGACAGACGAGGACGGGGGACTCCAATTATTCCGACCCAGGCCAGACGAATCCCGAGGGTCATTGGTCGAGTCGACCACAAGGCCAAAGTAATTAGGGCTGGATGACCTCATCTCGACTGGCCGGCCAGGAGAGAGCTTGGGCGCGTAGTTCTGACCAGTCGAATAAGGGGCTCGCGGTGATGACAAGGGACTCGCGGGCTTGTTGCTCGGCTTGGGATGGCGCAGCCCATGGGAAGAATAGTTGTGAGAGTGGTGAGAGAAGGAGCCAGGTGTTTTGGGCGAAGCTGTTTTCATAGTGTAGTTAAGAGGCGTTCGCTCGCCAGGCTTTGCGTCATGCATGATGATCGGTCTTTGGTGGCAGGGGCAACTGTGGAGCTCCTTGGAATCGAATAAGCGCTGGTTGCAAATTCGACACGGGAGAAGACGCTGCAATTCTCATGAAGCCATGGTTCTAGATCGGTCTCTAAAATGCGGTCTCGTGTATGGTAGGTGAATTGGGAAAATAAATGGTGGGAATGACGAGCAGGAGAAGCTGTCAATGCGGGTTGTGGCAAGGATATGATGCGCGCGGGAGAGAGGCGGAGGGGTAGGCGTAGGCGATGAGAAATAGGTCCCTGAATAGACGTCGGTGGCGAAGAGCGGTTGGTGGCTCGGCGGAACTTGATATGTCAGAGACGGATAACAACACTGTGGGTTTCGATCTGCTTCGCCCGAGTAAGTTTAAGGTAAAGCGACGGCCTATTTGCGGATCTCGACTGTCATGCGAGAAGGCAGCCTAAAAGAAAAAGGTCGCGAAAGGGTCCAGCCAGGCCAGCGGGGAAGTAGAAGGAGCAATGCGGTCGAAAAGGCAGGCGCGTTGCCAAAAAGAAAGCCGAGCCAAAAGAAGATGGAACGAAGAAAGACGGGCGATTTAGTAGGCCGTAGTGTGAACTGTGGGAGAGAAAGAAGAAGAGAAAAAGGCGAGTAGAGCCGTCGTGGGGAGAGACAGCACAGCAAGAACAAACAAGAAAAACCCGCTTGCTTGCTCGGACTAGGAAGGGAGAACGAAGGTCGAGATCAGAGCCAGCTAGCCTTGGTAATAACGGCAAGGGCAGAGCAAAGGGCAGATGGTGCGGATTTCCAATCGTCAATGGGATGGAAGCGGCTGGTCAATAGGCGAAAAGGGCGTAATTAAAAAGAACCAGTGCCAGGGCCAAGATCAACTAGGTTGGGAATTGGGAGCAACTTAATTAACACGGTGGGACTAGATGCAGGAAGGGCAAAGAACATATCAAAGAATATTGGTGGAAGACGGGAATAATAGACGCAGCCTACGAAATGGGAAAGGAAGTAGGGAACTACCCAGCTCAACTATTGCGCTATCTCACCTAGTTGTATGTTGGCGAGGAGTACCGCATGTACTTGCAGTGGCAGGTTGTTCTACAGACACTCCTGCTGGGCTAATTAGGATCCCGACCACTGAGAACAAAGTGGATGGGAGGTGGGGTGTGGGAGGGGCTAAAGGGACGAGGGGGGCTCTGAATTATTAATGGCTATGGATTGTGGCAGATCTGGGTCGCTCGCAAAAGCCAATCATTCTGATGTCTGTCCACCGGCCACTGCAATGCGTTGATTGGATAGAGTTGAGACGGTCTCTCTGCCTCGAGGAGGCTGCCAATTCCAGGAGCGAGGCGAGGGCTGCACCATGGCAGGCCCAGGAGCTCGACAGGTACCCAGGTGGCATAGAGTGTCTGGAGAGATGGGTACGACACATGTGCCGCCGTTTGTGAGAGATGGTGAGGGTCGATATGGGTGCTATGTCATGCCCTTTGTGCGCCTCGTGGGCAAGAGTCATGAGCATCCAGCACCCGTTACATATCCATATCACTAGCGCGGGGAAGCGTACCGACCTTCCCTCCCGCGGACCTGACAGGACAAAGACCTGAGAGAAAAAAGGGCCAGGCCAATGCCGTGCATAAGACGGTGAGACGATGAGGAATCGGGAGGGTTGGACGTGCTTTAGTCGCGTGGTGACGACGGTGGGCCAATGGCAAAGGGGAAGGGCGAAATCCATCTCACACCATGTGGTGGTAGGCGGGAAACCCTCCCGTCTCCAAATGGCTGCAGGCTCTCCTATCGGACGACGAAGAGTTGTGCCCAGTCCCTGCGAGTTGCACAGGCAGAGCAAGGACAGCCTGGCGAGCGAGGACGAGCGACCTGCTCACTTACAGCCAATGCATTTGCTGCAGGCTGTACGTCTGCTCACCTGACCCAGGCAAGGTACCCGCCTGATGAGAGATCCGTCTCTCCATTTCCAGCACTGCGTCTTTGACTGCATTAGCAAATTAGGTGGCTCACTGGCTGGCGGCGGGAGCATGTTCCCGCTACGAAGTACCTCTGCCACCTGCCAATAGCACAGCAAATGCTGCCCTTCACCGCCCAGCAGGAGTTGAGCCCATTTCTCTCGGACTTGGATCATTAGCCCAACTGGGAAAAACCTCCCAAATCAGTGAGGACCCTGCTTCGCCCTACGCCCTAAGTCGAATCTGCTTCTAGCACATCTGCCCACCAGATGATGGCGAGTTTACGGAGCTGAGGTCCGAGGCTCGACGCACAGCGTGCACCTGCCATGAGTACACATACATACATGACAGCAGGCTCGGAGCTGCGCAGATCTGTCTAGTCCAGTCCAATTAATTACCCACCCGTGTCTCTCTTTGTCTGGCTGCGAATTGGCATGCAGCGAATGATTTCAAGGCACAATTGCCTGGACGCTCGCGCAGGAAATGGTGGGGAAGGGGCGTCCTTTAGCAAAGGAGAAACTAGGCCGCCTATGACGAGTGTGGCAAAGATCTACGATACCGGCCAGGGCACGTCATTGTGGGTGGAACCCTGGACTCAGGCATGGGACAATGTACTTGGATTCAAGGTTCAGCGCACCCGCCCATTCATCCCTTGGCTCAGCGCGCAAGTCGAGAGGCTATCAGGCTTTATCGACTTGACTATCGCCATGTCTGCATGCTCTGGCTTTCCGTCTGCTGTTCGCCATGAGCAGCAGCAGCGTGCACTCGATGCCATGACTCTTGTAAGGGGGGAGCTAGCCCGGGAAAAATGGAAAAAATCTCCCCAGTCCCAGCGCCACGAAAAGGTACAATCAAGAGGTACCTAAGCCTCCAGCTCTGCCCAATCCGTATATCGTGTCCGTGGGTATGGCACACCAAATGGCTGGCTGCAAGTAACCACTGTTGCGACAAGATGCCTATCGCGTGAGCTCTCGCGATCTGTTGAATGTCCCTTGGTCTAATCATTGCTTTCCTCTCTCTTCGTTATTCGCCTTGCCAGAGTCTAGACGGACGTCCTTCGCGACGTGGGAAATGGACTGCATCTCTAGCTGCAGCAACAAGCGGCTAGGTGCGCACTGGCTCGCCGTCTGGCTGCACCACATCGTCATTCCTGCGTTCTACCGGGTCTGAGGTTAGGCCGTCCAACCAAGACAGCCAGCGACAGGGGGTGGGACGAGCGGGCTGCCAACGTTGCTGTGCCGCGCTCACCCCCTATGACGCCGTTGGCACTCAGGCGTGGGGAGTCCAGAACCTTACAGAACTAACGATCGGCACCCCTTCTCTTGGATACTTAATTTCGCGTTGCTTGATCGTCCATGATTCCCTCCCCTCAGACATTCCAGACCCCCATCGGCGCCTGGGGACAATCTCTCGTCCCGAGCTTGAGTTGTCAGTAATTCCTACCACGGACACGAACAGGCGCACGGGTCCAGACGCACTCCCAGTCGCCGTACATATGCAAGAACAGGAAGCTGTCATATGTATTAAGAGATCTCACCTGCAGTATGATGAGGCTCGGCATTTACCTCTGGTCCGTGCCCTCTTCATGCAAATGATGACTGATGCTTGATGACTGATGTGACCTCGGAGCACTGCTCAGCGGGTGACCTGAGGGACGGATGGATGGGTGCATGGATAACATCCGACTCCTGGCATTCTCGTCTTCTGCTGGTGCTACGTGCGACCGAAATGCAAAACATGCCTGGGTTTGTGAGACTGGTTGGCCGTCTCTTGGATATGACGTATGGATGATAGCAGAAAGCCGTCCCGGTGTCTCACCGTCTGCACGTTTTCATCCTCACCTGCCTTTTCCACTCCCAATCACGTTTCCCTCATTGGGTGATGCTACCGGGTTCTTTAAGCACGATAACGTTGCGGCTGCTGTGGGATGGGAATTGCGACCGAAGCCAGAGTCTGGACGGGACCGAACGCGGAGACTGACAGACGACACATGACATTCATCCAACTCTCCAGCTGAAACCCCCAGATTGGGTAATTTTCTACGCCGTAGCATCACGCAGCGGCAGTACCTCGCATGCGATGCAATGCAATTCGTTGTTGGTAGAGTACCAGGCGTAAATTGGCTGGTCATGCTTGTCCAATAAAGAGGGGCTGGCCCTGTGCCGCGCCGTGATGTGATGATGATGGCCCATCCGCAGTAAGCAAGTCTGTATGCCTCTCAACTCCTCAAGCGCCGATTGCCTCACTCCAGGGCTCGTCATTCTGGGCTGACAGCTCCCTCCTTCTGGTTGGTATTGCGCTTGCAACCCACACCTTGGGCCTTGACCGTGGACGAAGAGGGGGGGGAAGACCCCTGACTTCAGCCTCGCCCGCTTTTGTCCCACTGGCTGGCTGTTCGTCTCCGTTGTTCTTGACCGACTGCTCAAAGGAATACGGCGATCCCTGATTCAACCCTCCCACTTTCTCTCCGGGCCGGCGAGGGGAGACGTCGCTCCGGAGTCTAGAACACGGGTCCAGCCCCCTAACAAGCTCGGTCAACCTCTGAGCTGGCAAGATAGGGAAATCCTGCACACACAAGTCCGCAACCCATGCAAGCCTCCGCACGCACATGGTAGGTAGGTAATCGGGGCTTCTAGCACGCGTCCATCCCCAGTATGGTCTCATTCTTTGGAGGGGTGGGATAGACGACCTTCCTCTTTGCCCGCCCATCCTCTGAATCGGAATGGGTCCTGGGGCACTGGGAGTGCTTCCCCCGTCCCTGGTTTTGGCAAGGGACACACCTGTCTAGCTCGATGCTCCGTCGGTGAAGCGGCGGCTCTGCCCAGGCCTTCCCCTTGGATCGTAGCCAAGCCCAACTGGTACCAAATAGTCTGGCAGCCTCATTCGCGATTGATACAGGATCGGTGGGGTGGGCACGTTTCTCGCGGTAGGGGTCGAGGAGTTAGTTATTAAGCCCGAGATGCATGACTGGAGCTTCACCACCCCCACTGCGAGTTGTTAACCCTAGCGAGGCACTATACGCAGAACCTGTTTATCCGTTATTATATGTCTAGACCCTGGGGCGTGGGATGAGGTGTTGGTGCGCATATTGTATTACGGTAGCATCTGCAATGCGCTGGAGGTATACTAGATTCGCAGCTCGGGAACTTGCCGCCGCTCTGTATGTCCTCGGGGCTGGAAACTGAGTAGACATTCGATGCCTCCGGCATACACGGGCGGCTTGACGGAGCCATGATACGAACAGACTAGTGAGTCCGTATGCTGAGTGCGTGACTGACAATTCTCGCCACCAACTTCTCCAGACATCGGGTAATCCCATTGCTCCTGAGCTGCGTCATGCTCACTCAAAGCTCACCAAACTCATTGATTTGTAATATGCCTAACCACTATCATGCAAGAAGTCTATGTTGGCAACACCGTCTCGCGGGATATCAAACTGTGACATTTCCGGTGATACGACAACGACAACACCAACAGTTCCCACATGATTCCCACATCCATCCGCCTTCAGCCTCTGCATTTACGTTATGATTAGCAAATTCAGCGCAGGCTGACCTGAACTACCGTATCGGATCGTTCTCGAGATAGCCCCTCATCAACGGAAGACAAAGCTTGTTTTCAACCAGGCGAAAAAAACGGAAACCAAAATCATCGCCCGCATGTCTTCGCAAGCCGCGGACGCCTTCAGCGAGCGATTTCGGAACCACAAGCCGATTTCCAAGCCTGTGCCCGCCTATCTGCCTCAGGTCGGCTCGCCCTTGGCTGTCGACAAAGACCACTACGCGGCCGTGCAGCAGGCGTTCCGGGTCCTCGTAAAAGAGTTCACCCTGTCCATCCGCTCCGGCCGGGTTGCGGGAGGCGCCCGCCGGCTCCATCGTGAGGATCGACACCCCTCAGGGACCGCAGGTTGGTTCGTAGCCCTCAAGTTCCGTAGGAGGGAAGCGTAGAGACCAAGCAGAAAGAAACACAACTCAGTGAAACTTTTGAAGAATAGGCGACCTTAATATCTGGGACAGGCACAACCCGCGCGAGCGGTTCTTGGCCAACCGCACGCCTCGCACGCCTCGCACGCCTCGCACCTACGGCCGCCTCTAGTTCTCGCTCCCGGCTCGCTGGCGTCGTACGGCGTGGATGAGCACGACGAGCCGCGTCCACGAACCTGCTGGGGACGAGTTGCCGACCCCTACATCAAGGGCGTGCTCTCCGGACGGCGCCCAGTACCACTTCCACTACCACTCGAACCTGGTCTGCGCCGTCATGCCGCGAGGGCTGCGCGAGACGGACGTCCGCGATATCATCAACATCCTCCAGTCGACGGGGCTGGATGAGGAAAGGAGATAGTTTATGAACCCGTGCCCTACCGAGGAGGGGGACCGTCTTCAATTCCTCGCGGAGAAGGATCTCCTTATGGCTTTGAGTGTGTCGAATCTCCCCCTTTTTCCTCCCCTTTCTTTCGAGATAGAACATCTTCCATCCATAAACTTCAGGTTAAACCCCAGGTCTACGAGCTGAAGGTCAAGGAGCTCTTGAAGACGGCCAGCTGGACGCCTGCCGAACCTGCCAAGTAACGTGGCAAGCACGGCGTCCGTCCTATCGAGGGCAGGGCGCGGATAATCTGACGTCAAAGGAATAGAGTAGGTGAATCACAACCCTGGTGAGTCAGTATGTAGTCACTCAGCACAGAAATATACCTGCAATTACAGACTATATTGCTTGTCCCATCTATAACATGCTGATAGGAGATTTCGTAACATGACATATCACTTCGAACATCAAGTAAAAGGACAGATACAGATGATTGCCAAAACGAAAGGCTTTTAGACCCAGTGCTCCATGCATCAGTCCCGTAGCTACATGAACAGCACGCCATCTTCACAACTCCTCTACCGGCCAAATCAAGTCCCTGTAAACAGCAATTTTGAGAATTTCTATACTAGTTGTAAAATTACTTCCAAAGCTTGCCGAGAGAAACCTCCTTGTCATCATGCTTGTTGAGAACCTTGGCAGTAGCCAGTTCAAAATCCTCTTGCGTGACGTGCACTCTGCGCTCACGCAGGGCGTACATACCAGCTTCTGTGCACACACCCTTCAGCTCGGCACCAGAGCACCCATTCATCTTCTCGGCAATCTTCGTCAGGTTGATACCTCGGGTAAGGTTCATCTTGCGGCTGTGGATGCGGAGAATATCGGCTCTGGCCTCGACACTTGGCGGGGGGAACTCGATTTTCCTGTCGATTCGACCGGGACGCAGCAGCGCGGGATCCAGAATGTCGAGACGATTGGTGGCCATGATGACCTTGATGTTCTTGGTGGGCTCGAAACCGTCCAGCTGGTTCAGCAGTTCCAGCATGGTTCGCTGGACCTCCGAGTCACCGCCCGACGAGCCCTCCACTCGGGAGGAACCAATGCTGTCGATCTCGTCCATGAAGATGATGGAGGGGGCATGCTCACGGGCCATGACGAACAGCTCTCGAACCATACGGCTACCCTCTCCGATGTACTTTTGCACTAGCTCGGAACCCGACACCCTGATGAACTTGCAGTGCGTGTGGTGGGCGACAGCTCTGGCCAGCAGGGTCTTTCCGGTACCGGGGGGGCCGTACAGGAGGACACCCTTGGGTTGTGCGATACCCAGCGACTCGAACAGCTCTGGGTGCTTCAGGCCAAGCTCGATGACCTCTTTGATTTCCTTGATCTGCTGATCAAGACCACCAATCATATCGTACGTGCTGTCGGGCACCTTTTCTACCATCATCAGGGAGACGAGAGGGTCGACCGACGATGGGAGGAGCTTCTCAAGCTTGTAGGAGTCGGAGAGGAGGGTCACTCGCTTCCCGGGGGTGAGCTTGGAGATGTCGACGCTGTCGGACACATCGACGACTGTTCACGGAATTAGCAAAAGGTTCCGGTCAATAACGTAGCTATCTCGGGGCGTCCCGATTGAAGGAGCGTACCGTATTTCCCCTCGGGGTGGACCTTGACCAGGACTTTCTTGGTGCTCATAACCTTGACAACCTCACCCACATAGGATCCGGGTTGCTGCAAGAGGCCCAGTTCCTCCCTCAATAAGCGGACGCGAGAGTTGTAGTCGTTACGCTGAGCTTCAAGACGACGCAAAGCAGCCTGACCCTTGAGGATCTCGAGCTTCATCGACTCGATCTTGTTGTGGTAGTACTCGTCGAGCGCCATCTTGACGGCGGGTCTGCCGACGGCAGGGACAGGCAGGAACCGTGGGGTTGTTGGAGCGTGGTCGGGCTCGGGAATTGGCTGCCGCGGTGGCTCTAGACCTGTACTGCGTGATGCGTCTGAGGATGGTGAGTGCAGCGACTGGGAAGCGTGCTGCGGTGATGGAGGTGAAGCTGGGTTTGACGTTGACGGCGATGATGACCTATCGGGACTGGAAGGCTGCAGCTGGCTGACGACCCGCAGGCGAGTGCCTAACCAGGACAGCGACCAGCCAGAGCTCCCCGGAAAGCACATTTCGCCGGCTCCGGCCACCAGGCGCTAGAACCTACTATGACGAGCTTATCGCCGATATTCACGATAAGGAATGTGGGTTGGCGCCTATGGTTGTCGCATCGCATTTCCAGAGCGTCAAGACAACATGAAATATAGGTCGAGGTGTTTGCAGACATGGTTTCCTTCTTCTTCTATTTTCTCAACTACGTATGGAGAATGCAGTCAGCCGACTGAGGCAGATTCCGGGGCACCGTTTTGGCGGCCGCACCCTCAATTAGTCACGCCTAGGTCTGAGATAACCGATTTCGATGGTTTTATAAGTCATGAGGGAGGAGTGGATGCATGTCACCAGGTCAGTTGCCTCAAGTACGAGGGGTAAAATCAACCGCCGTCTCTTTCCATCACATGCTTTACTATGTAGTTTCATATCTTCAATACCCAAATCAATATATGCGCAGAATTTTATGCAAGAGGTGAGATTTCCAATATCCAGTACGACGCAGGTAAATATCAAATAAGCTTGCAATCATGTCCATAAACGTGTACGTCTACCGTTTCTACTGATATCCTAATCCCAAAGAAAAACCAAATCTGTGTAAGTCATGTATCGCAACTCCAAAACAAGCGCCAGCTCATATCCTCCTAGTGGTGGCTGACGATGCTCAGCTTCCTCAGTGCCGCCTCGCTCTCAGGCGTGTGCCTAGCCTGGACGACCATCAGGCTGGTGTTTGCAACCTTGGTCTTCTTCATCTCGGTGACCACGGCCGCCGCGATCGGCCCAAGCACCTTGTGCGGGTCGTCACTCCCGACGCCCACAGGCTCCGAGGCGGCTCCCTCGGCGCGTCCCAGGATCAGGATGGTATCTCTGGTCGTGTCGGCTCGCGAGGCAAGCAGGCCGGTAGCCAGCAGCCCGACGTTGCCGCCGTGGGCAGTGGCCATGTCCACGAAACGGACGCGGTCGGCGAGGTTCGCGTCCAGGCTGTCCTTGATCGTTCCGAACCTCGCGTAGCCGGGTGAGTCGCTTGATGACGCATCGACGATGGTGACCTTGACTATGTCGTTTTGGGCGAGCTGGATACCAAGGCGGACAGCGTAGATGTCGTCCACGCCACCGGCATACAGAACATATATGTGCTTCTGGGCAGTTGCGTCAGCTGAGTAGAACTTGACAGCGGTGGAGTCTTCAGCCTCAGAGGCGGCAGTGATGGACAGGCCAGTCCTCGTTCTCTTCAGGCCAGCCGGGGCATCCTCGCTTTGGTGCAGCAGGTGGCTGTCGATGAAAGTAGCGACAGCAGACTGGGGTCGGGCATCATCAAGAATCTTGCCAACCAACGAGGAGAATTCACTATTTGTTAAGAGATCGCCACGGGGAGCCGCGCTGAAGAAGGATTGCAGCTCAGAGGCGGTTCCGGTCTCGCTCCAGGGAAGGACAATCAAGTCGCTCTTGTTATTTGAAGCTTCGGAAACTAGAGTCTCGGCGAAAGAATGCTGAGGAACGACAGCGAGCTGACCCGAGACTACGACATCTCGAGTAGTGCTGTTGGCGCAAGTACCAAACGCTCTAATGATGGGGTCGTTGCTGGCATATTCCTCAATCTCGGTCACCTTCATCACTGATGAGTTTCTCTCGCTCAGCTCAACCAGACGATGTCCGTGGATACGCAGAAGATCCCGAGGCGAGCGGGAGCCCGTGGCGGGTTCCTTTTCGGGGTGGTCCTCGTTCGAGGAGAGCTGTGGAGACTGACCATCTCGCTGGCCGTTTGTGAAAAGGCCGAGGACGGAGAGCAGGCTGGAGAGGCCATCCGTACGAAGCCAGACGAACATCCTCTGGGTGGCTTCCTTCTGATCCGAATCAGAGTCGTCTCCGTCGTGGTGGATGGGAGTGCCATCCCAGTTGATTCTGCCCTGCTTCCACAGCTGCAACTTGCGCTGGTAAGCTGGGGGGTACAGGAAGCTGACAGCAGGAGCCGTAGCAAAGGTGGTGATGAGGGCCATGACGACAAACATGGTGAATGTTCGCGTGCTCAGGATCTTGGCCTCCAGTCCAATGTTGAGGACGATGAGCTCCACGAGACCCTTACAGGACATGAGAGTGCCGATTGTGAATGATTCCCTCCAGACCAGACCGTTCATGCGTGCACCAATGGTCCCGCCAGCAATCTTACTCAAGAAAGCAACGACAATGATGGCAACCACATAGCCCCAGGTAACACCGTTGTCCAGGAGGGAAAGATTGGTGCTGAGGCCGGCGTTGGCGAAGAAGAGAGGCACAAGAAGCGCCGAGATCAGATCCTCAATCTTCTCAGTCAGCTTGATGGCAAAGCCACCCTCGTGAGGGCACATGAGTCCAACCATGAAAGCACCGAAAATAGAGTGAACACCAATAACGCTAGTGAAGAAAGCTGACGCAAGCACGATCAGGATGGTCAGGGCCACGATACCCTCAGAAGGTCCCTTCTCGAGACTCTGTGTCCGGCGCAGGGTCCACATGAAGGCCGGTCGCACGGCATAGGCCAAGAATAAGGCCCAGCCGATGGCAGTGAGAAGGACGTAGACCGAGGTGACTCCCGCGCCAGAGTTGACGAGGGTAACGCACAGGGCCAGAAGAACCCAGCCAACCACGTCATTGGCGATACCCGACGACAGAGTAATGACACCAACATTGGTATTCAGCAACTTCAGGGAGGTCAAGATACGGCAGAGCACGGGGAAGGCGGTGATGGCCATGGCAACACCGATGAACAGAGCGTATACTCCAAAAGACACCTCCTTGATGCCAGGCTCGGAGCCGAACTGGTTGTATAGACCCCAGGCGACGGCCACACCCAGCCCGAACGGGATGGTCATGTCAAGGGCAGCCACGCTGATGGCAATGCGCCAGTTGCTCAGGAGGTAATTCAGGTTGATTTCGAGTCCGACCAGGAACAGGAAGAGAACCAGACCAAGGTTGGCAGCCAGTTTGAAGGATGGCATCGACTCCTTGGGGAAAATGGCATCGGTGAAGCCAGGGATACGGCCCATGATGGACGGGCCAAGAATCACGCCCTACGATTAGTATCATTAGCTTACGGCTGCGTGGTTGGATTTGGGAGGTGGTGGGACAGCCAGTCAATGATGTGGAGGGACCTACGGTGATGACTTCAGCAATGACCTTGGGCTCCCGGATCTTCGACAGTGGCCAGTACAGCGCTCTGGTGAGAGAGACAACGATGGTCGCCTGGATGATGAAGAGGATGATTGGGTCCGCGGAATTCCATTTACTCGGATTGAGTCCCTCAAAGATACCGGCCTGCGAAGTCACAGTGCCGTTGGTGGCTCTGGCGGCCAGCCAAGAGGCAGCGCCGTCGACGGCATCGACCCAAGCCATGGTTGGGGATCTCGAGTGACTCGAGGCTGTTTGGAGAGTCTGCTGCACAGGGAGGGGACAAGCCAATTCACCGTCCCAAGGTCAACTTGATCAAGCAAGGCTGCAAGAATAGCCAAAGGGAGATGGGGTCGAGCGGGAGGACAGGTCCATCTACTATTTAAATCCCCTCCTCCAGACCCCGGCTTACACTATCAAGACAGAGGAGCGGGACCCCCGTCGACCCAAGGATCAGAGTTTACAAGCCACGGCCGGCCAAGAGAAGCTGGAGTCGGTGGAATCCTGCCAAGCGGAGGCCTCACCAATGGCAAAGCCGGGAACTTCGCCATCCAGCCACGCAGACCGAAGTCCCATGATTAATTGAGCACATGCTTGCAAGAGGAGAAAGAAATTTCGCTTGTAGCTGTCTCGATGAGGCCAGGCAACCAGGGTTGACTGGGAGGGTGCTGCTACATGCAGGGTGCTGGGAGCATATCGAGATGGGTGGGGAAAGAGGCGACAGCACCAACACGTTAATCGATGCCAGTTGAGTGGCAACAGGAACGCTGGCTGCTTATCTTGCCTGGTCGGGTTACACTTGGCCAACAGTTCGCAAGCTTAATTTTAACCCCCCGGCCTGATGAGTTCGGGGCCCCAAATCCATCCCCAAATCTATCCGCTTCCCCCGCCTAATAGCCATTGATGTGAAGGGAGGCTTGGATGAATGCAGCACCGCCCTCGCTCAGGCCGCGCATCGACCAACGCATCTACATGGCCAAGGCGGGGTTGAAGCATGTGATTGATGCCCTAGTGCTCCTCTTGTGAAGCACATTACTGTCCCGCCTCTCAGCCGCCAATAGTCGCAGCAGGTCGTGATCTGACAAGGATGGGGCGCCAAGGGCCTGATTTGCTCACCGTTCTTGTCCCAAGAGACAGACGGAATAAGCCTTTGTGCAGTCCGGGGATTTGGTCAGCTGACACCCGGCTCTGTTTCACTTGTTCGCCCAGATGAGGGGGCATCATGCATACGATGAGAGGGCATTGAAACGCTTTGTGGCAGCTTGCTTGAACCACTTCCTATGCTGGACGAGGTGGTGCATAATGGTTCACGCAGCTCCGTCTCGCATCATTAAGCTTAAACCGTCGTCTCGATTTGGCTTCTGAAGCGCCCATCAAACGGGGCGCATCTCTCATCTGACGTACTCCGATCGATGGGACGGCCTGCTCCTATCCATGCACCATGCTAAGTTTGAATCATGCTTGAAATGAAAGTTTACGATCATGCTTGGGATCTGCTAATGGTGGGGAGATCATAATATCAATTCAATATACATCCTTAATGCCTATTTTATGCCAATTCAAATCATGCAGTAGATGCCGCCTTTGCGGCCTGGCGACCAGCCTCACGTCCGTAGACAACACACTCCAACAATGAAGAACCTCCCAGGCGGTTGTCGCCGTGGATTCCACCTGTGATCTCTCCTGCCGCCCATAGCCCGGGGATGGCCGTGAGCGCCTCGCCGTCGGCCCCCTTCTTCAGGACCTGGGCATCGGTGTTGATGGCGAATCCTCCCATAGTGAAGTGCACGACCGGCGTGATGACTCCCACGCAGACCTCCTCCTCGCGGTTCTCCTTCCCGGCCTTCAGCCTCCAGTGCCCGTACGAGGGCCGGCCAAACTCGTCGGCCGCACCCGAGGCGACGGCCTCGGAGTACTTATCAACCGCCTTGATGATCTCCGGGCTCAGGTCCTTGACCTTCTTCTTCTCCACCAAGCCCTTGAAGATGTAGAAGCCGATGTGCATGGCCGTGGCCTCGCAGGCGCCAGGGTCGAGGAGGAGCGTCACCTTCCAGAGCTTGCCCTCCTCCGTCGAGTCGCTCGGCAGCTTCATGATGCCGTTACTCACAACATCCCGCTTCTCGAGCTCATTAATAAATCTCTCCCCACTACTGCTAAGGAGGATGCCGCCCTCGCCTCGCAGGACCTCCGCGGCGAGGAACTTGTTTGGCGCGTACGGCTCCTTGAGGTCCACGAATCCCGTGGGGTGAATCTGCACGCTCTCCATGTCGATCGCCTCGGCCCCAACGGCGGACAGGACGGGATGCGCTGCCGGTCGAGCGTCGTTTGTAGATGGGAATCCTTCCAGGTCGGGCCGGTACTTGGCGAGCAGGCCCTTGGCGTCCCCTGCGAATCCTCCTGCGGCGAAGACGACCGATCCCTTGACTGTCTCCTCGGTGTCCTCCTTCTTAACGGTGACTCCAGTCACCTTTCCGTCCGTCACGTCCAGAGCCGTCACCTCAGAGGAGGTGCTCAGCTCAAACTTGGGATTCTCCTCTAGCTTCTTGGTAAGAGTGCTGACAATGGCAAACCCTGGAGGTGATTTGCCCGCTCCACGGTGTGTCCGGGCAATGGAGTGGCCCCCCAAAGGAGCCACCTTGCTCAGATCAACACCGAACTCGTCAGCGAGCCACTCCACGGCGCTCGCGGACTCCTTGGTGAGCTTTTGGACGAGAGCCTCGCGGTCGAGGCCCTTATGGCTCGTCTCCTTGAAGAGCTTGCCGGCGGACCTGACCGTGTCCCCGTAGAAGAGCTCGTCCTTGTCGATGCCCTTTGCCTTTTGGTACCTCGAGTTGGCGCCGTTGATGCCGGAGGACGCCTTGATGCTGTTGCCGCCGGTCTTGGCCCCGCGCTCAAACATCCGCACCGAGGCGCCGGCCTTGAGGGCCTCGTGGGCGGCGGACAGGCCGGCGAGGCCAGAGCCGACTACTATGACGGGCTGCGCGGACATGGTGGACGACGACGTCCAGAAGGATTTACTGAATAGCGGAGAAAACAACACAGAGCGACTGAACAGCAGACGGTTGCAGAGCATGCCAATGCCAATCGCGGATATGGCTATGAGCAGGGTGAGGACCAGACGGGCGAGAGGTCTGGGAAGCATTTGCAGGATGGATCGGGGAAGGGGTTTATTATCAATCAGCGGGAAGCGGATACGGGTGGGAGGCGGATATTCGATATATCTAGGCAATGGGATGCAGCGAATGGTGGAGTTTGAGGGGATGAAGAGATTTATCATACGACCCCTGGCGGATCGTATGATGTTTGGAGTGGTCAGACGAGGGTGCTACGGGTTTACGAAAACTAAAGCAGATACGCGACGGCGGGACGGGAATTCGATGCTCTCTAGTTCACCGAAACACCAGGGTGCTTCAGAAGGATGGAGGAGGAGATGTTCGCGTTAGGAAGGGGTCCTCGTAGGCAAGTGCTGCCACCCGGTCGTGTCGACTGAGGCCCGTGGAGATCCCCCGCCCTGACCTTTGAAGGGACGCGAGGTGGCTCGACGGCTTAGGGTTGGAAGGTATAGGGGTCGTTAGCTCAGCAGCCGAGGATGCAGTGGCCGCCAACCCCGCCATTTCATCTGAGAATGAATTTCATACCGCCACTCTGTTCAGCTGCTGGTGCTAACAACAAGTGGCGTGGTGTTGACAGCGTAGGATGAGATGAGGTGGGCTTATCGATAGCGAGTATCGATAACAGCCCGGTCTGTGTTAACATCATTCAGAAGAAACCCCAACCTATAACGATCACTCGCCCATGATCGGCATCGGAGAAGAAAAGAGAAAAGAGAGCGGCGAAAACTGGCTGTATCTTTCTTTCTTTAAGTCCCGGCTGATTCATCGAATAGGATCACATGGAGCCTGGTCATGTGAGTGCACATACGGCAGTCAAATGACGAGATCGATCATGGGGGATGACAAAAGAACACGACCCGACCCTCGCACGGCATCGTCAGCAGTAGACGTACTATGATATCTGCCAAGAGAGAAGAACAATGCAAGAGTCATGGTGCGTATAGCTGAGAAACCTATGCCTCAGACATGAACGACATGCAGCAGCCAAGGAGAGACAGTTCCAAGCTGATGCCGGCCCCAGGTCTCTTGACACTTGTGGGGTGCGTACAATCCCACAGCAAGAGAAACACGGCACAAAGATGGGACAAACCCTTGCCGATGATACCTTTTCTTGATACCTAGTCGAGCTCATGGTCAGGGTAACGCGGCAAGGCGAGATGTGTTATCGGCCACGGTGAGCGATGAGGGCACATGGGCGGGACAAGGGCATGGGTGGTGATGGAGGGTGCGGATTGGTGCCCACTCGACCCTCAATTAGCGGCGGGCACTTTCTGAAGCTGCACGACTCCAGGCGTAATCACGGTGTTCATCATGCAGAGAGCCACTGACCTAGCGTGGAGCATCCCCGCTAGACACGGCCCCGGGGGATCACGACACTCGCCCAGCAGCAGCAACTTGCTTGGTAAGATGGCCTGATTGGCCACGTGCTGCCTGGGACACGATAAGAACCATTGATCACTACCTGCGCAGGTGAGGACATGAAGAAGAAGGCGCTGAGCAAAGGCGGAGTTGCCGGCATCAGCCAAGGACCGAGTACTTCAATCTCATTACGCTTTTGCGCACGGGTGCCAGTGGGAGCTAATCAGCAGTGCGTGGGCAGCCATTGGGTAGCATTGTAGCACTTCATGTAGCTTGACGTACGTGCATGGGCGTTGATCCAATTTGACGAGGGCGCTCTCTGTCACCCGTGGACTTTTGTAACCATCGTCCTATCCATTATTATTCCTACATTCCTCCTCCTCGTTGCTGTCTCAACCTGCGATTCCCTTCTCCAGGCCACGCGCTCCCCGGATCTGACATCGGATCAAGCGGCCGGTCTTTGTCCAGCACAGCAACTATTGTTCAGCTGCACCCGTCGTGAACGCTGTCTCATTGTCAGCTCGCCATCTCCCTGGTGGCGTCGTTGTCTCGTTCTCTTTTGCTATCCGTGCTTGCAGGGAAGCGACGAGGCCCAATCCCAATCCACACCCACTGCACACCCCTGCCATTTCCTGCGTCAGCGCCACACGGCACGGGTCCTATCGCCTAATCAACAGCGACCGCGTCCTCCAACACCTGAAGAGAAAGTCTTCTGCTATGTAAGCACCTGGAGTGACGAAGCAGCACGTTTTATCACCATGGACCCCTCAGAGCGACAGGGCTCGTCCAGGCTCCATCAGACCTCTGGAGACTCTGCATCTCCTACAGATAGCCGCACGCCACTGGCCAGGGCTTCCTCCTCTGCAGCTGCGGCTGACGATGATAACGGCCTGTCCGAGAGCTTCCAGTCAACAGACACCATTCGTCGCCGGCCAGAGGGATATGGTATGCTCCTCCATGCAGCTGCCCGACGGGCTTGCTGGCCTCAAGCATCTTCCCCAAGCCTCCAATTGCTAACTCGGTTTTAGGTTCGATCCAGCGCAGCGGCGGCGCCTCCACTGGGCCTGCGACACCTGCCGACATTGTCCAGGACCGAGCTCGATCACGAGGTCCGTCCACCCAATCTCCTCAACGAAACCCCCATCGAAGCAAGTCCTACACCCGCCTACGCAAGCCAGTTCTGAGTCGCAAGATGTCGTCCACGACCCCCCACCGGGGCGAGGTCTTCTCCGTTGACGACGAGCCCTCCGAGGTCGAGGCAGACGCCGCCGTGCTTCAGCGAGAGGTCACGCAATCCTACGGCACCCGACGGCGGTCCCAGGCAACGGGGGCTCTCAACCGAACCCAGTCCTATTCAGACCTCGCTGAAGACAACGAGGAGGTCGCTTCGCAGCATTCTGAAGTCACACCCGAAGATGCTGGTGATGAGGACGAGGAAGAGTTACCTCTCGAAGAACACTTGGACTGTGACTCGGATAGCGACATAAGCGAGGCTGAGAGCTTCACGCTAAAGGACCGTCAGCAGGCCATCAATCAGACCCATCCCTTCGGTATCAGGGTCTGGAAGCCTGCTCTGTACAAGAAGGATCGTTCCATTCAAAAGTCGGCTCAGGCCGATATCCATTCCTCGCCTGGAGGTCACGTTAGCAATTGGCTGCTACTCTTCAACCTCGTGTGGACCTTGGTATTTGGTTGGTGGCTAGCATCGTTTGCTGCGCTGGGCGCTATAATATGTCTGCTTGTGTCCGCGGCTCCTAGTGGAAGAGAGTATGGCAGGGTACTCTGGGGACTGGCGGGATACCTCTTCTATCCATTCGGCAAGTTTGTCCGGTTGGAGAGAGACGAGGCCTACATACATGAGGACCAGAACGAAGGCCGCTCCATCTCGGAATACGAGCAGTGGCAGCAGGGAGATCTCGAGTACGGTCGTCTCTTTTTTGGTCCTGACAGAAACAGGTCGATCGTCGGTCGGTCCAGGCGAAGCATCGACTCAGAAGCCAGCGAGACGCAGAGTTTACTGGGCCGTCGTCGACGAGGCGAGTCTGGCGATTCTGGTGATTCCTCCGAGATACCGCTGAGATCGAAGAGACGACTGTTTGGCCGTGGCGAGTGGAACATTGGTCGTGTCATCTTCTTCGTTTTCTTCTACTGCCTCATCTCGCCCTCTTTGCTGCTAGTATCCGGCATCTGCTGGTTCCTCGTCTTCTGGATCCCCATGGGCAAGGTCACCGTGCTTCTCTTCAGCCACTTGAGACGCCACCCGCTCGCCCTGACCTTTGAACCCGATATCAACTACACACGGCTCGACGCACCAGACTCGTCCATTCTGCTGTGCACCTATCGCGCTGTAGGCTCCAAGTATTGGAAGTACACTATCGACGGTACCAACATCTTCCTCATCAATCTCATGGCGGTGGTTTGCTTTGTCATCTTCGACTGGCTTGTCCTGGAAGGTGTTTTGCATATTGACACCTTTATCACCTCCCCCGCCTTCCTCTTCACTGCCGGTCTATTATCCATTATTCCATTGGCCTATTTCATCGGTCAGGCCGTCGCTTCCATCTCAGCACAGTCTTCTATGGGACTTGGTGCTGCCATCAATGCGTTGTTCGCGACAGTCGTTGAAGTGTTCCTTTACTGCGTAGCCCTCAACCAAGGTAAGGGACCGCTTGTTGAAGGAAGTATCGTTGGCAGCATTTTTGCTGGTATCTTGTTCCTGCCCGGAATCTCCATGTGCTTTGGTGCGCTCAAGCGGAAGACGCAGCGCTTCAACGCCAAATCGGCCGGTGTAACGTCAACCATGCTGTTGTTTGCGGTCGTCGGTGCATTTGGCCCTACTCTATTCTACCAAATCTACGGAACCCATGAACTCAACTGCCTCGATTGCCAGGATTACGATAATGTTATTGGCGAGGGTGGAAGTTCCCGTGATTGCCGTCGGTGTTACTTTTCTCAGGCCCCCGCGCTCAACGACCGCTTCTACCTCGAGGCCGTCAGGCCGTACTGCTACATGGCTGCGGCTATGCTGTTCTTCTCGTATCTGATCGGCTTGTGGTTCACCCTCCGAACCCACGCCGCCGTCATCTGGAACGCAGAGGTTGATGAGAAGCGGAACGAGGACCACATGCAGGCATCCTTGACACGATCTTCACAGCAGGCGACTCTGGGAGAGAGCACGGGCGCAGACATCCGTGACTCTCAACTGTACAAACGCATCCTGGGTCATTCTTTGAAGCAGGCCGGTCTGCAGCCACGCTCTGAGGAAATATCTCGCCAAGCATCCACCGTCACCCAAGCCACCGGTGCTAATGGGTCACCGACTACGCCTCACGTCGTACCGCCCAAGGCCAGCGGGAGCGAGACTGGCAAGACCAAGATCAGAGTCCCTGGCTTGAGCGAGGCTGACAATCATCTCCTCGTCCGTGAAGTGGCCGAAATTGCCGCCACAGCAGCTACCATGGCTCAACGCGAACGCCTGCCCAGGAAAACATCGTCCGCGCCTCATCATTCTGCCAGTCATCCTCAACAGGGAGCAGCCCGAGCCGGCGCATTCCCTGACGAGGAAGAACTGGCAGCCGCTGAGACCGCAACTGCACATGCTGGTGGCCACGGCCATGATGCACCCAATTGGAGCCGGACCAAGAGTACAGTCATCCTTCTCGGAGCTACCGTTCTCTATGCCATCATTGCGGAGATCTTGGTCGATACTGTAGATGTTGTTTTGGAGAGCTTCTCTATTGATCAAAAGTTCCTCGGTATTACACTCTTTGCTCTGGTTCCCAACACGACCGAATTTTTGGTAAGTCACTTTCTTTTATCGATTTGTTCGAAGCCTTCCATTTGTGCTAACTAAGCTCCGTAGAATGCCATTTCATTCGCCATGAACGGCAACATTGCCTTGTCCATGGAAATCGGTTCTGCATATGCCCTCCAGGTCTGCCTTTTGCAGATTCCTTGCCTGGTTCTCTTCTCGGCAGTTTATGCAAACGTTCCAGCAGGCGCAGACGCGGCGCAGTATACATTCTCACTTCTGTTCCCTCAGTGGGACATGGTGACTGTTATTCTGTGTGTCTTCCTGCTCAGCTATGTCTATGGCGAAGGGAAGAGCAACTACTTCAAGGGAAGCATCCTCGTTCTTACTTACCTTGTCGTGCTCATCGGATACTACTTCAGCGGATACACATCCGATGCGATGGGAGCACAAAGATTCGACATTATGGGAGCCGATGGCCAGTATCGAAATTTCAAGACCATTGGGAGGTCGACCTCGGGGATGGCGTTTTAATGTGGAAATAAATGCACGGTGGTGGGTTGATTGTTTTTTTCTTGCATGGTAGGATCGGATCCCAGATCCTCGCCCTCTCTTTTCCCTCCAAATACTGTTTCCTAACCTTGAGAGAGCCGGCTTTCTCGGCCGTTCCCCAACAAAGGTACAGTTAGCCAGGAGTGATTACCGCTGGTCTCCTATGTGTGTGCCTGTGTCTCCTAGCATTATCCATTACTGGAGTTGTGGCTGTATATTGTTCCTGTTCGCATGGGTTGCCTCGGCTATACACTACGTCCTAGATGAGCTCATTGTCCTTTCTTATTATCTCTCGGGCTTCCGTTTCGGTAAATTAATACACGGTATCTACCTCAAAATAAATTGCTTGCTACTACATAGGGTGCATAATGCTAAGAATAGTGATGATTTCTTGACTGAGTCAATTGCGCTGGTAACTTTAATGCATGTTGGTCCCGGCAGTGCAGATTGGCGCTTAGCAGTGATTCAAGGCTTGATTGAGATGGTCTGAACCTTCTATTTCAGTAGCATCATGTGATGACAATGGGCTGTTGGTCGTTGCCCACCCCTTGCATGGCTCTTAGCCGCCGGCCAGCCTTGTCCATCACACTGAAAATCCATTGATGCTACCATCTGTTGGTTCAACATGTTTGACCCACTCCTATTGTTGAAGGCTGTTGTAGTTGCTGCCTCGGCGTCAACGAGAGAGTCTCGAGGCATTGAGCCAAACTTGCTTAAAGGCCATGGCTTCTGCCTCTCTCCGGAGCTCCTTCCCTCTCTTCACAGCATTCTCGCTCTTCAAAGGCTCCTTCTGGCAAGTGCAGCTACAACAAACAATTCGCCATCTTTCTGATTTCATCAACAGCCGATGGAAATATAATAAGCTGTACAAAAATCAGCCGGCATGAACTCCCTCCCGAATCAGAACGCTCAGTCTGCCCTGGAGGCAAAGACGAGTCTCCTAGCCAATCTGCCCATCGAGGTCCTCCAAGACATCCTGGACCACCCAGACCTAGACGACGACGTCTCCTACCTCAGCCTTGCCTTCACCTCGAGCTGGCTGTACCCCCACGCCATCAAGCGATGGGACGCCTCGCGAGCCTGGGCCCGTGTCCGCTCCTCCTTCTTCAACATCACCGAGATCCACTGGCACCGCGCAAATGAGCTTAAGCACCTCACTTGCTTCGAGCTCCCCGGGGTCGGCAAGATCAGGTACGCCTGCCCCACGCCCTACTTCCCCATGGGCCCGCTGCCCCTCGTCTGGGACGGCACCGAGGAGTCGCTGCCGCACCTCCCGGCCGTCGAGGTCGAGGGCCTGCCGATGCACCTGCGGCTGCGGCCCCAGCACACCCTGATCGGCGACCTCATCACCCAGGTGCGCAACTGGAACAGGACCGACCCCGAAGACCGCCTGACGCCCGCGGCCGCCGTCAGGATCGTCGAGTGGCTCATGGCGCAGGGCGCCAACCCGGACCAGGTGGCGTGCAACAGGTGCCTGCTCAGCAACTTCAGGACGGGCCCGATCGAGGAGGAGGTGAGGATCAGCGAGTGGATGAAGACGGTGGGCAACTCGGCGCACACGCCCATGACGCAGCTCAGCTACATCCTCGAGTACAGCTGGCAGGCGCAGGACACGTGCATGGCCGTCATGGTGAGCCTCCTTAAGCACGGGGCCCGCTTCCCGCCCACCGTGCCGTATCCCAAGTGCAGCAACGCGGGTTGCGCCAGGAGGTTCCACCCGTTCTACACGAATGTCGAGTGTCACTGCTCGCACCTCGATGATAGCCGCAAGGGCATGGCGGATGGCGAGCCGGTGTCGACGCTCCGCCTGGCGATATCTGCGCCGTGTCCTGCCTTGTACCTGCGGCTGGCGCTACACTACATCCCAAAGGCGGAGCAGGGACGGAGTTTGTTTACCGGTAATGGGGGGCAGACATCGTGGTATGACCTCTTTGTCGACTCGCTGAACTGGGAGTGGCAGGAGCAGTTCCGGGACCGGGTGTTCCCTATTCACGGTGAGCTCGATCGAGGGTACGGCCTGGTGCCGCGTAAGAATCGTCAGAAGCAGGTCATCGTCAGGGCGGCGAAGAAGCTGGCGCTGCTCGAGCGGTCCGGTATTATCGGGTCGCAGGAGATGGACTTCATCTACGGAAACCTGCGGGCAGGGCTCATGGATGGCCGTCGCGAGAGACCACCGCCAAAGAGATTTTATCAGGTGTTTGGCGAGAACGGGTGGGGAGCTTGGGAGAAGAACTATGCCGAGGACGTAGACCTATTCTGGAGGAAGAAGTATGGCATTGCAGAGGAGGAAGGGCTGGCGGTGCCTCTGCTCAGCGCGACGTGTGGCATGGGTACGGTGCGAGCGCATTATGCCAGGTTGGCGAAGGGAATAGAGTGATGGGTGACTACCTAGATAATGATTGTACGCCAGAATCAAAAATGTAGACAACGCGACTTTCGCCTTTTAACTTTAGGCGGCGGGGGGAGCGTGCCCTTCAGCCAGTGAAGCCATTCACAGGCAGCAATGCCTCAGATAAATCTACTCCTCGTTCCATTGCCGACTCTTCTTCACTTCCAGGGCAAGCCCCGAGCAGCAATGAAAAGAAAAGGAAAAGCGCCTGTCAGACGTCCATCAACACCCACCCAGACCGCGCGCCCTAAGGCAGACCGCGAAAAGGGTCGAGATCATCAAATTGAAACCCGGAGGCTCCGTTTACCATCTCTATACAGCACCGCCCAGAAGGCAGTACCGCCATCCTTGCGGACAGAGCGAGAGGACCAAAGTGTGTTCACTCTAGGGTGTCGAGGATATACATTCATCAACCAGGGTGGATTCTGTGGCTTCGGTAGGAAACCAAGAGAGGGTCGAATACTATAGAAATGATTCTCCTGCAAAGATTGTTAGCAGGAGTTCGAAAATTGATTGTTGTGAGCAGGTAGGGGGGACATACTGAAGTATTGTCGACGTGAAGAAGAAAGGAAAAAAAGTCCAAAAGCTGCGAGGGAAGGCTGCGCTTTATAGAAGGGTGTGGGTCCCTGGATCACTCCTCTCACACCGCCTAAAAGTTTTTGAGTGGCAGAATGTTTCGGTGATTTTTTTTCTGCCTGGACCGTGCGTGGTGGGACAGGGCTGTGATTGGCTTGGAAATGGGGAGCGGAGCTGGTGGCTGGTGCACGGCATATTGGATTAGTGGGGCGTTGTCTTGGATGATTGGAGAAGATATCTCGAGGCTGTTTCGCGAGACGGTCGTGCTAGGTTTTCGCCTGGAGAAAGCGTCTGTTGCCTGGTGGAAAAAAGAAAATTTGTTCGTATTCTCGGCTTCCTCATCTCCGTTAGGTCCACCATGGCCGGGAGAAAGTCTTGGCTGGTCTTGGGTGCCTGGGAGAACGGTGGTTCGCTTTGATGCTGAAAACTGGTTCATCTAGAGAAGCCTTACCCGGGACCTTAGCAACAAAATGCTTCTTTTAGTCCAAGCAAGTTGCAGATTCACGTATTCGATCTGGTTGTGATTGAATTGGCATATCATCGTTTTAGAATAGTGCTTCATCATACAACTATTCCTCTTTATATAGCTCTTCCGTTCTAATAAACTGCTCAACGTCCCGACCGACCAGACTCGCCAGATCTTGCGTCTTCCCTTGGCTCACCAGCTCTCTCACCCTCGAGCTGCTCACTCCCACACTCCCACCAGACCCCTCGACCATCTCTACCCTCCCCGACCACTCGGTCCGAAAACCTCCACCCTGTAGCCTTGACAGATATCCCTCCTGCTCCTCCACCCCACCCCAATCACCGCCCGGCCTCATCGTGACTCTCAGCTTGGACATCCCGAAGAACGGACCCAGCGCCTCCGCCATGCCCTCCTCACCACCGTAGTACCTCGGATTCAGCACCCGTATCAGCGTGTCGAACCCGGCCAGGAACGTCATGTCCCCGAGTCCAGCGTAGAAGCCCGACTCCCTCACCGCGCGCGCCTTGTCGTGGAAGTACGGCCGGGTGGTGACGCCCACGTCCACGGCGGTGACGGCGGAGCCCGCACCTGTGCCGTCGTGGCGGTGGAAGATCTCGCGCGCCAGCGCCTCCATCATGCAGAGTCGCAGCTCGAAGGGGGCGGGGCGAGGCGCCTTGTCTGCGTTCTGGACGGCCAGGAGGAGGAGGATCCGGGAGGGCGAGGAGGGGTTGCTAGTAGTGGCTGAGAGGGCCATGTCACGGTGGGCGGCTGTGGGCGGGTTGAAGCTCGAATCTAGGATGGTGAGGTGGGGGACGGGCTGGGACGGCGGCAGAGGCCGGGGGTTGTCGATCTGCTGCTGGGCTTCATGGGGGAGGAGGGTGCAGAGAATCTGGAAGGGGGAGCTGGAGGACTGGAAGTTGGTGAGGGAGCGGGAGAAGAAGGCGAGGAGATGCTTGTTCCTTGCGGCCATGGTGGGTTGTCCGGGGCCTGATGGGGAGGCCATTCGCCGTGTGAGGAGAAGAAGAATACTTGATTTAAACTCGGGATATTCTGATGAGTATAACTTCAATTTCAGGGGATGAGCTTATAGATTGTAGGTGGTGATATATGACGTGGGGTCGATTTGTCTTAATAAACAGAAATACTCTCAGCTACTATTTGCTTGCTCCACCATGCTCTGCGCAGCCTGAATCACATCGGCTCGCCGCGATCGCTCATCTAGGTACTTTACTCGCCTACAGCCCGAAAATCGAAAACGCCATGTAAGTGGAAATGGGAAATGGACTACTCGATGCGCTCTCAACCGCCATTATGTACCTACTCCTTCGCCTGCCCCGCATCCATGACGCCCCGCGAGAACCACTCCGCTACGGTCGCGAACCGGTCCTCGCTGTTGTCCAGATCACTCTTGAACAGCTCGTGCCTCTCTGCCCTGGCCCGCTGGCCCTCCCTCATCTTGCGGATGACATCGTTCTCACCGGCGCACTTGGGGCATTCAGGCTCCCGGTCCTCGACATTCCGCAGGCACCGCTGGTGGAAGCTGTGCTTGCAGAGGAAATGCACGGCCGGCAGATCCAGGCCCTGTCCACAGTCGGAGCACCTCGTCGCCTGGAAGACGGCTGGCTTCGACCCCAGGTCCTGCAGCTCCGTCCGGCGTTTCTGGGTGTCGGTGCGCAGGCCCTTGATGCGTTGACGGTTCGCGGCAATCTCCTTGCGCTCACGCGTGATGGTCCCCTCGAGATACGGCTTGATCATGCCCATCGTGGCGACTCCGCCTCCAGAGGACTGGCCAACGAGTGTCTGGATAACCTGAAGAGGCGCCATCAACCCGTCCTTGTCTATCCTTGTGAGGATATTGTCCAGCTCTTCCTTCCCCGCCTCCTCCAGCACGCGAGGGTCCGAGGTGAGGTAAGCCAGTGCAGCGGGGTACAGCTGAGGTTCCTCAGGGCCATACTTCTTCAGGGCCTTCATGGCACCTCGCGTGTCCTTTGCCGACGTGTACGACCGGAAAATGTCAAAGACGAGACCGGCTTGCTCTTTGACTAGGACGGTACCGTCTCGGAAGTTTGACAGGTGAGAGAGTAGAAGAACGTTGGAGCTTTCCATCGGGACATGCTCGCCCTCGATCAGCCCTTTTGCCTTGTTTTCCCACTCTTCCTTGTAATGCTGCCCTTTCATCTGGCTGGATTTGTAGAGATACATCTCGAACAAAGTCGTGTACAGGTCGGTGCGGTCGGATGTCTTCACGCCCTCCTCATCGAGACATGCCTCTAGGAAAGTGATGAACTCATCCGGGTGGTCGATGAATGAGGAGAATGCAGTCCTCGGCGGTGGGGGCGTGTATTTCGGAGCAGGCACGCTATCATCCTCTACAACGACGGCACCTTCACTGACAGCGTTGGCGGCGGCTCCTGTGCCTTGTACAGATGAGGCGTTCATGTAAGGCAGAGGCAGCAGGTTCGATAGATTCTGCACCGCAGATGCGGCTCCTTGGGCAAAGCCCCCAGCCACCGGAGCAGCGCCGTCCTCTGGCTTGACCAGAATGGTTCGCTTAGGCTTGTATTTGCCTGTGTAATACTCGACGAACAACTCCGTCGCCTCGGCAGGGCAGTTCTCAATCAGTACCCTGGCATACTTCTGCATGCTTGAATAGGCCTGTATGAATGGTCAGCATAAAACTATCCAAGTAATCAAGACACTGAAATCGTGTTGAACTTACCACTTCGGGATCTTGGTGCCAGATGAAATCAAGTGCCTCTGGGTAGCTTTTGGCGTCCTCGATTAAAATGTCCACCACAAGATCTGTCTCACCATGTCTTCTAGCGAGGTATGCTGCCTGCTCGTAGTATCCGCCTTGGCGACACATGGCAATAGCTGTATCCAGATCGAATTTGAGGTCCCCAGGAGACTTGATAAACTTCTCAAGCTTGTCGATATCCTTCAGCTTGGCATAACAGTTGAGTAGCAGGGTGGTGTGGTCGGCCGTAGCTTTTCTGTGCTCGTGCAATTGCTCTAGATATTGAATGAGGTTTTGTATCCGTTGACTGTCGAGAAACTATTCTCTCTGTAAGTGTACGCTCCGTTGTCAAGCATTCAAGGACCTCGCCTACCTTTCGAATAACCTGTGATGGCTCAGTTGTGTCAATGGCTCGGATATACTGGACCATGGCACCATCAAAGTCGGCTTTCGAGTACAAATGGTCACCAAACTTGCGGTAGATCAAGCTTTGCTGATTCGCATCAAGGCCTGAGTTCTGTGCAAGTTCAATGGCCAACGGGTACATGTTGCGCTGGTAAAGCATCTCTAGACGCTGCTGGAGGGTTCTTTCGTGATAGCGGTAGATCTGTCCAGTGTCAGCCAGTGAAACCTACACGAGCCCTCCTTCAGGTATTTTCACCTTTCCGTCCTCACTCAGCGAGTACAAATCCCCCCACACCTGAAAGGCAAACCGAGCAGGAGAGATCAGGGTCTCCGTGTGAGCAATGATCCGTAGATCCGTCTCCAATAAAACAAAGGTTGAAGCATTGAACAGCGCATCGGTCGCCCCACCACCAAACCGCCGCCTCATGCTATCCGGATCTCGTCCATTGATGCTTGATGGGGGGCAGGATAGCGCGATATACTCCTGGAAAGTCGTGACAAACTTCTTTGGTGCCTCGTACGCCTTTGGAGGTCCTCGGCCGTCCAAATTGTAGGTGTAGATCGCATCGTCCCGAGCCACCACAACATCCCCCGTCCTCTCGTCGAGCGTCATGCATTCCCATGCGCACCCTACATCCTCCACGGTCTTGGGTGGGAGGCCGTGGCCCCTGCTGGAGAGTCCGAGCTTGATGATTCTCGACGTCGTCGAAACGAACAGGGTTGAGAGCTTTTCGTCGGCGAGGAGTTGGACATTGGTGACGGGTTCTTCCGACTCATAAACGATGCGCTGCTTGCTCCCCAGGTCGCGGACGAGGTCACCGCGGATCACAGTCACCGCACCGTTTGCGAACCCGACAGCAATCTGCGTAAGGTCCGCCGTAGCCGTGAACGCCGAGATCTAGCTTTCGAGTTAGTACAATGCCAAACTGCGATGCAGGCTCAGTGTATGCGGCATACAGGAAATCGCCGTCTCGCATTGCTGATGTGTACGGTGCTCAGGCACGTCGGCATGTTCGTCTTCTTCACAAGCTTGTCGAGCGCCCAGACCTTGAGCACGGGGTCGTTGATCAGGTCCTCCTACACAACCAACTGTCAGTCACCTTGGAATATCGATATATGTGTATAGCTCGGGTGCGAGAGCCAGGGCTCCTCGTGCTCACCGAGACGCTGACGAGCAAGCTGGTGCCCTCGACCTGGCGCATATGCTTGATCTCGGCATCGTGCGCCTGGAAGCTCCGCACGACCTTCCAGGCCTTGCTGATGATGCTAATCGTTCCGTCCCGCGATCCGAGGAACAGGCTGTCGGAGCCCGTGCAGACGCTCGAGACATCGCCGCTCTCAAAGACCTCTTTCGCATCGTCGTAGGGAGTGACTTGGGCGACTTCGAAGAAGTCAAATGACTTCCACTGTTATCCGGGGCACAGTTAGTTACGGCCTCTCGAGGAAACTAGGTCGGAAACATCAGGATCGTGCATACCGATATTGCCATGCTGCTGCATTCTGTAGTGGACGGATATGTGTTGCTGTCAAGGCACGGAGCTGGAGGCGGGCGATGACGATGGTCCAGTTCGGTGGCAGCTCAGCTCCGTACCCGTAGCCGATGGGGCAAATGGCCGCCTAGCCAATTGCGTGTGGCGGCCTGGACCTGCAGATATTCACCACCCCTGTAGCACCACAACTCCATCACCTTCAACAACGAATTGAGATAGAATCTCCTGGGTAAGTCATGTGGTTATTGTATATATATATTATGGAACTCAAGCCGAAAAGGATCAGTTTGTTCTCAGCTCGATCACTCAGATATCAGGTACCATCATCCAGAGACAACAAATGATCCTTTTATTACTGTTTATAAAACTGTGTCTAGACCAAAAGAATCCTTAATAAACAATAAATTCATGCCTGCCTCGCTCATAGACTGACATGTACGCCAAGGAAAAAAGTAAACGAGGGTATCATGCACCTGATAGCCGAGAAGCAGCTTCCTCCCTCCCAACCCATTATCGTGGTCCCTGAGCAAAACGGCCAGCGTCCGCTGCTTCATATAAAAAAAAAGTACCAATTGCCCACCTTCGGGCGCTCCAAAATTTCCATACATTGATTGACTGAAACAAACGAAACGCGCATGCATACAGTGGGCTTATGCCGGCCCAGTTAAGGCGTCGTAGCTTTGTTTTCCTTGGGGGAAGGTCCGCCGACCTCCTCCTTCTCGTTCTCGTCAAACTTCTCGTTGGGGAGCTGGCTGACCAGGGGGCTGTTCAACGAGGTAGTACCTCCTGGCGTAGTGACACTGTCGGTTCGAACATGGCTTGGGCGAGCGCTTCTGACACTGGCTGCATCGCCTTGCTTTGCGTAGAAGCTGTTCCTATCGCCAGCTACGGCAGAGTAGATGCTGCTGCGCTCAGCACCCAAGCGCGAGCCGCTCGCTTGCAGGCCTGGGGTGGTTCCAGACTCGATGTTGGCACTGAGAACGCTAAGTGGCAGGCTCTCCCGACTACCTCCCCAGACTGAAGACGGTGCAAGGGCTCGGACAGACGCATCGGTATCCATCGATCGACGACGGCGCCTCTTGCTAGATGACGCGAGAGTCAGGATGGATGCATTGTCGGTCAGCAGCCCGTTGGCAGTTGCTGCCGTGTATGTGTTGGGCATGCCGGTTGGTGCGAGGTGGGCCGGGATTGCGGATGCGGGCGAGTTGGTTGGGAATGGTTGGCTGAACTGAACCGATTGTACGTTGTTGGCCAAGGCGTCCGTCCCGTGATGAGCTCCGTTGGGCACCAAAGTAGATTGAATGGTTGTCAACGTGGTCGTCAAGGATCTCACAGAGGGAGCCGGGCTGGAAAAGGTGCTGTCACCGCCTCTTCGAGAGTCTACTCCTCCTCCAACAGTCCGGCTGGTGCCTGCCACGGAGCTTGCCCCATGACTGGGCGCAGTTGTAGAGCCCTCGTGTTCGGTGGACACAGTCCCCGCGACACTCCTGCCGCCGACCGTTCTCCGTTCGGTATGATAGGCGCTGTCGTTTGTCTGTTCCAGAGTGATGTGACTTCCAGTCTGAGGGGTCGAGAGGGACGCGGCACTCCCTTCGGCCGTATGTTCGACGCCAACCCTGCCGGACTCGGGATAAGGGTTGTTGAGCTTGGTGCCGTGCTTCTTCTTGCCATTGCGGCGCGGGCGGTCCCCATCCGATGAGGATTTGAAATTGGCTAGCTTCTTCACCCAGTTCGAGAAGGGCCTTCGGCGGTGAGCCTGGCGCTCTGCTATTTGTCAGTTCACATCACCCAATGCGCGCGAATGGCTCCCGGTGTAGTGGGCGGTGGGTTGGCGATGGAAGGCCGCCCACCACAGAGGCCCGGAGGCGACCAGCAGGTCGCCTCAAAGGACACGACGCACCTTGAGGAGCAGGGAGAGTATCAGTCGTCGCCATGAGTAAGGTTGGGAATGGGCGGGGTGGGACGTGTGATATTGCAGCTGGTGTCTGCAACTTGTGTCTGGTTACGATCGAGGGTGGTCGGAGGGGCGCAATCCGGATGGTTGGTGAGGGCGGATAGGGAAGACTATAGCGACAGTGAAATGAGAAGCCGAGATGGTAAGGAAAGAAGTCTACAGAAAGGAGATGACGGGACGTCAGGAGAACAGCAGAATGATGTTGGACGGATTCGGGTAGAGTCAGGTTGTTAATTGAGGGCGGCGGAGCAGGCAGGGTGGGCATCCTTCCTTCATGGGGGTGGATCGGCTCAGAATCAGTCATCCATTCATGGGACCTGAAGCTGTGCCACCAGGCAAGCTTGTAGGCGCCCAATAAGGCCTGACAGGTGCCGCTGGTGGTCCGAGATGGGACTGATGGGCCCTGGCAGATCGGCTCCACAGCGCAGGTCGGCGGCGCTCGCCCACTGAACCGTACCTGATACAGCTATCCGACAGGTACCGCCCGATAGCAGGTAGGTTCGTTCCAGCATATGGTCGCCGCCCAGTCAGAGAGCCGCGTTGTCTCACGTGATGTCTGGCACTTTGAAGAAAATGGGAAGGAGCATGAAACTTAATCGGCGTCCACCAGAGTCTTGTTGTTTGATGCCGATCTGAGTGAGGGGAAGGACCTTGTCCGCCTGCTACCTTATTACATGAGCTGCATTGGCCATGACTGCTGTTAGCGAGCGTCTCCATACGAAAAGAAGCTCAGCGCCAAGACCTGCTGGACCCCAGAAGGCTGCATCCGCGGACGACGGGACGTCATTGCTGCGCTTCAGTCCCATGTTCGGCAGCCCTTTTCCCGACCGCCCAGCCCCCCTTTAGCCGTGCCACCAACCAGCTCATCATCATCATGATCTTCAGCTGGCCATGTCCATCAGGCAGCTCCCGGACCATGTCGTCGGCAAAATCAGGTCTTCCATCGTCATCACATCCCTGAACGGTGTCGTCGTCGGTCTCCTCAAGAACTCTCTTGATGCCGGCGCCACCAAAGTGAATATTACTGTGGACTTTACTAGGGGTAACTGCACAGTCGAGGACAATGGGTCAGGGATACCTCCTTCGGAGTTTGAGAGCAGTGGAGGGCTAGCAAAGCCGCATCGTAAGTTGATGTCTTGTTTGAATCCACTGTGCTTGGCAGACTTATTGACCTGTATTCCAGATACCTCCAGGTTTCCACCAGATGAACATGTCTATGGAAAGCATGGTGATTTCCTTGCCTCACTGGCCACGGTTTCCCTGCTCCTGGTGTCGTCCTGCCATCGACATCATGTGTCTCATAATTCGCTGATGATTCACAACTCTAAGCCAATCACGAGGCACACTCCGGCTCCTCCCGAGCACAGAATTCAAACTTTTGATCATGGCACCCGTATATTGGTTCGTGATTTATTTGGCTCGATGCCAGTGAGGGTAAAGCATCGAGCCATCCTATTCTCCGAGCGCCAGAATGTGGACAAACACTGGTCGCAGCTTGTCCACGATATCGTCGCCATCCTTATTTCGTACCCGGCCGGCATTTCCCTGTCCCTGAAAGACCTCACAGTACAGAAGGAGCTGCGGTTGAGATCTACAGATGCGTCCGACATCTCCATTAGAGCGTCTAGGATTATTTCCCAAGCATTTCTTCCTGATTCAAGAGATGGCGACTGGATTCCCATCTCGGGCTCTGCTGGGTCTATGACACTCAACGGTTGCATTTCCACTCGGCCTGCTGCAACACGTCGTTGCCAGTTCATCAGCCTGGGTATCGAACCTGTGGATAACACAGAGGATGCAAACATTATGTATGAGGAAGTCAACAAGGTCTTCAAAAACTCGGATTTTGGTGTTGTAATGACAGAGAACCTGGATCCAAGGGACCCTGCATCTGCAGTTACCCAGTCGAATAGCAGAAAAAGCATAGAACGTTGGCCTATGTTCTTCTTCCAGCTTCGGAGCGCGTCGTATGGAGAGTTGCCGGATGTTGATGCTCTATTTGACAACAAACATCGAGATCTAAAGTCTATCCTTGACCTTGTCAAGGCGGTCAGCTACGGCTTTCTTAAAAAGCATAATTATCGCCCAAGAAAGATCAAGATAGCAGGCAAAGACTCGGCGAATTCAACCAAGAAAATTTCAGGGGCACCGCAACTAAGTATACGGGGGCGGAAGCAATCAACAGCTGGGGGGAGCGTACGCTCGGCTTCTCAAGGAGGCGCATCCAATATTGGACGCAGTAGCCCATTTGATGGATGGCACCGCATCAAGGTTGGCCATGCAACGAAAGATGGCGTGAAGGAGTACCAAGCAGACACACCTGAGCCTAAAATCTCCAGCAGCAATCAAGTAACACCACTGATCTCCTCAGGCGGTCGATTACTGCGCAAACCTTTTGACGAACCAGAGACAGCCCCTGGCAGCGGGGACGGCGTGGAGAGCAGCTACTTTAAGGATGTACCTGCAGACGGCCGCTCAGCTTATTCCTCGCTCCAATCTGAACTTGAAACGCCTGGGAACGCTTCTGCCGAGAACAGCAAGGACAAATCGAGCCAGTGGTTGAAAGGTGTGCTGGAGTCGTGGGAAAACCCGGTGTTTGAGAGCGCCCCGACGTTCATTCCACGATCATATAATGATGACCCGATACAAGTCCGAGAAGACGGTGTCCTTTCAAAACACTTTTCTAGGGCTGGTCGAGCAGACGAGATCATGCTCGAGTCATCATCTATTAGCCTCGCGGGGCGAGTTTCAAAGCTGGCCCTTCAAGAAGCTGAGATTATCTCACAAGTTGATGGGAAGTTTATTCTCGTCAAGCTATCTCTTGAAAACGCCAGTGGCGAAAGCCGCAAGCTGGGCTCCTCGGCCCTGGTCGTGCTGGACCAGCACGCGGTGGATGAGCGGTGTCAATTGGAAAGCCTAATGGCTGATTTCTTTGTCCCTTCAAGCGACACTTGCGATGTTCTCGAAGCAAGAACTGAGATGCTGGACACTCCGTTACTATTTGAAATATCAAAGGAGGAAGGCCAGATGCTGACACAGAATGTTGCCTATTTCTCGGCGTGGGGCATCAACATAGACATGGAGCCAAATGCCGGCGCAAGGAAAGTTGATGGTGTTCAGGTCCGGGAAGATTCATCCTTTATGGCTGTTACTTCGCTCCCGCCCAGCATAATAGCGCGCTGTCGTTCAGAGCCTCGTCTCATCATTGATTTGTTGCGAAAGGAAAGCTGGGATCGGGTTGAGCGTGGACAGTCAGCCCTCCCAACGTTCTCTCGATCAAGCACGGGGAGAAATCCGATCAGCAACTTTCACGGTTGCCCCAGAGGCATTCTCGAGCTCCTCCACTCTAGGTCGTGCCGTAGCGCCATCATGTTTAATGATATATTGTCCCAAGGAGAGTGTACAGCACTTGTCAAGAGGCTTTCTCGGTGCGCATTTCCATTCCAGTGCGCACACGGGCGGCCAAGCATGGCACCTTTAATAGATCTTGGTATCGATAGCAAGGTCGGTGGGTGGTACAACGACAAACGGATGATGGATATGTCAACATGGGCAGATTATCAAGATAATTGATTCACTCCAACACAGCTGTCTGGATGGACGATTCTATGTCATGTTATTTATAGTATCACAATAACTACCGGTATATGCTTGTTTCATACATGTCAAGTTCCATATGCCAGCATTCCGACAAGGGTATATGAGGTCTCCAACGTCACTTTGGGGGGGGAACAAGATGCTAGCAGATTCTCATCACAGAATCAGAAAAAGAAATGGAATGGAATATAGAATGGACTCCTGAGAAATCCAACAATGCAATGCAATTGTATGAGTCATAAAGACCCTTCTAGCCGCCATCGAACGCCTTCAAATGCAAACCTCTCCCAACTCCGGGCTATGAGCTTTTTTGTTTCGAACCGGTTGTACAAGTCCACCTGAGGGGACATGAGGAGAAAAGAAAAACAGAAAAGGAAAAAAATTCTAAAATCGATGGTCGGCCGTTAAAGTTTTGTGAAGTTGTTGTGTCTGAGATCGATTGACGTGACGAGTCTCGAGGCGACAAAAACCCCTGATTCAAGTTTTTTCTCTGCAGGGCAGCGGATCAAGATACCTGCTCTTGCTCTTCTTCTTCTTCTTCCTGTAGCGCTAGGTCCTGCGCTTTCAACAACTTGGCTTCTTCTTTGCGTTGATTCTCCTCGTCCTGGGACATGAGTCTCCATTGTTTGGTGATGGAATCCCAGCGATGACTACAAAGGTTTTCGTGTCAGTAAAAGACTCTGAATAGGTTCTAGCGAGGGTCACACTTACTGCTCCCACTCCTCGGCGACGATGCTCTTGTGGCCGTACTCGTCGGTGAGGATGTCCTGGTAGCTGTAGGGGACGAGGGCCGGGACGCCCTCGAATTTCGTGGGCCGCAGGGGCCAGAGCTGGCGGGCCTCGTAGCGGTGGTAGTTCTTGCAGCTCCAGACGCCCGGGCGGGACGCCTCGCGCTCGCGGACGCCCGTGATGTCGATGAAGAGCCCCGTCTGCATGTCGATCCAGCGGGCGTCGATGACGTTGGCGCCGTCCCCCCGCGTGAGGTCCGAGTGGTGGGGGTTGACGTCGAGCAGGAAGGTCTTGGTGGCGGGCCTCTCCCAGCCGTCGACGTAGGTGGTGCCCTCGAAGGCGTGCTCGGTGCGGTTCATGCTGTCGCCGAGCCACTGGAGGGTGTCGTTGGAGACCTGGACGTCGAGGTCGTAGTCCCAGGGCATGACCTGGCCGTTCCACCACCAGCCGAGGAGGGTGCCGTGGGCCAGCCACGTCTCGGCACCGTGGGCGTCGAGGACGCCGAGGTAGGAGCGGATCAGGTCGCGCAGGACGAGGCGGTGCTCGTCGTAGGGGACCTCCTCCTTGAAGTAGCGGATGTCGTAGTGCACGCGGGCGAGGCTGCCCGAGGCCTCGTAGAAATACTTGGCTTGTTGGGCTCCTATCCTCCGGGGC